TCCAACAAAGCCTACAGGGTCCGGCTGGACCCACACCTCCAGTGCCACATCTGGGCCCCGGTCCCATCCTCGCCGGCCTGAACTCCCAAGAAGCTCTGCCCAATACCCTCCCTGCCCCCAGCAGCCAGAGTGCTCCCTCAAGGACAGGACGAACCGCAGAGGCCACTGTGGCACTGGGAACAACTCAGCCTGCTGACCCTGGACCCGGCCAGGAGGCCCTGCCCGCTGCCAGCCCCTGCGGGTATGCCAGGCACCTCCGTGGAGGTCACAGAGTGGGCACTGGGCTGTGACGCAGTCTTGTGCCAGCACAGGACCTCAAATGCGCATGTCACCTGTCAGCAGTGACCACGAGGCCCACTCCACTGGGGCCACTGTGCCCACAGCCTCCCTCCCAGCAGAGACTGGATGGCGGAGTGCTGTTGCCAACTGTTTATTCAAAACCCTGAACAGGTGGTGCGTGGGCATGCGGCACACTCGGCCCACAGCAGCGTGACCAGCAGCTCCCCAGCTCTGGGCGCACAGCCACAGCCAGGCGGCCAGAGCCAGCCGCCCCTGCCACCAATGGGCTACCATCCAGGGCCCTGCAGGACTAGCCCAGGGTGCCCCGGGCTGAGGCCAGCTGGAGTGGTGAACCCCCAGCGCAGGGGTGAGTGAGGAGCAGCGCTCCAGTGTCCTGTGTACCCCTAGCTGGCCGGGAGGCCGAGGGGACCTTTGGCTCCGTCCACACCAGCCATCCCGTGCCAGGCATCACAGCTGCGTGAGTGGGTTTGCGTGTGAGAGCGTGTCGGGGCCTGACTATCCCCTTCCTAAGGCATCACTGCTACAAGCGTCTTCACCTCTCCTATTCAGAAAAGAGCCACAGGGCCCGGGTGATGTCCTCGAGGGGCCCCAGTGGCTCCAGTGCGGCCGGCACCCCTCAGCGTCTCTGGCTGGCAAGCCAGGAGAAGAAGGCGCGAGGCCGCCGGCGAGGCACCTAGAGGACGCGCATGGTGCGTGGTGAGCGCCAGGCTTTGATGGTGGCGTCGTCGCTGGCCGTCAGCAGCAGCTCCTGCTCCTGGGGACTGAAGGCCACCGAGTTGACCACGTCGTTGTGCCGCAGCTTGGCCAGGCAAATGTTGTAGTGGCGGTCCCAGACGTAGCCATGCCGGTCTTCTGCTCCGCTGCATAACAGCCCCGATGAGCCGGCCGCCGCCACAGGCGCCCGCGCCCACCCGTGCCCCGCCGCACCCCGCACCTGGCCACGAAGTCCCTGCTGACGTCCAGGAAGATGAAGAAGCACTCGTCGTTGGGCGTGTACGCACGGTGCGCACGCAGCGCCCGCCTCACCTCCCGCATGGTCTTCAGGTCGAACACCAGCAGGTCGATCTCCTCGGCGATGGGCGGCGGCTGCATGGGGTCGGCCACCACCGCGCCGCGGGGCCAGGCGCGGCTGTTCACGTACAGGTACCTGGGCAGAGGGCGCTGTGCTAGGTATGGGCTGCTTGCGGGCACCCCGCCCGGGACCCTGGTAAGAGGCCCACCTGTTGTCGGGTGACAGGCCCATGCCAATGATGTGGCCGTGCACGTCTATGACGTGGTCCAGCGCATCGAAGAAGGCGTCGGAGCCCCGGCCCTCGCCCAGCACAGGCCCCGCCGTGGTCATCTGGTGTGGCAGGATCTGCTTGATGCCTGCATGGAGGGCTGCGGTGAAGGTCCCCACCGGTGCCTGGGGACTCCAGGGCAGCCCCCAGCCCAGCGGGGCCTCCGAGCCTGCGAGTGCCTCAGAGGAGTGCACGCCGCCTGCTTCGAAGGCCCAGACCTGAACCGAGCCCGGCAGTCACTCCGGCCAGCAGCCCACCTGCATCTGCTTTTACCACGCATCCCGCAGGAGGACAAGGCCGGGTCTGGGCTTTTGGCCCCCGGGGTGAGAATGATCCCAGCTCTGCCTGTGGACTTGCCTGCCGTTTGCCCCCAGGACCCCTGCCCAGCCTCCCCCAAGCTCTGAGGACCGAGGCAGGGCTGTACCGATCTGGTGTGGGGAGTAGGTGAGGCAGCCGGTGGTGAAGATGAGGTACTTGCTCCTGGCGCCTGCGGCGCTGTGCTCAGGGGGCTTGGTGTGGCCCTGGGCCAGCAGCTCGGCCACCTTGGTCTCCAGCATGCAGTCCGACAGCTGTGGCTGCGCCCGCCCCTCCAGCACACGGTCCAGAAAGTGCCCCAAGCCCTCCCTGGCGTGGGCGGGGGCCGGGCTGGCCACCTCGTCGTCGTCGCCGCCGCCCAGGTCAAAGACGCGGCAGGGGGACGTGCCCGGGTCACCAGCGTCCAGCAGGAGGTCGGGGCTGTCGAAGCGGCTGCAGTCGGCTACCATCACCGTACGGATGGTGCTGGCATTGAGGTTCTGGATCTTGAACAGCCGCTTCACCACATTGACGTTCTCTGACTCCACGTCCTGGGGGCGGGGCAAACACCAGGTGGGCCCCGGCCCTGGGGAGGGCAGTCCCGCCCCCAGCCCTGCACCCGCACCTGGAAGGCGTTGTTGAGCCACAGGACAGAGCAGGAGGTGATGTCTCCGATGCGGTGCAGGTTACCCGAGATGAGGCTGGTCTCCGTCAGCCAGCAGCCAAAGACGTCGTAGGGCTTGTTCCGCACGCGGGACAGCAGCAGGAAGGAGTCTGGGGAGCCAGGCCAGACAGGCTGTCAGCAGGGGCGGGGGGCAGGGGCGGGGCGGGGGCCGGAACCCTGCTCACCTAGGCTGATGACCGCGATCTCGCCGGAGGAGGAGTTGTGCGGCCCCAGGAACACCCCGGAGGCCAGCAGCAGCGAGTCGTCCTGGTTGAACTGCGAGAACTGCGTGTAGCTCCAGTTGTACGGCCGCATGTCCACGCTGTGCAGCAGCGAGATGGTCAGGTCGTTGCTCCAGACCTGTACGGCAGGGTGGCCGTGGTGACCGCCTGGCCGGGGCCCGGAGCAGGGGCCGCTACCACAGTGCCACGAGGCCTGGCTCTACCGGCCCTGCTCAGAGACCACCAGGGAGCAGGGACCCCTCGCAGCCACTGTCATCTGTCCTGGGGCGCTGGCACAAATGGCAGGAGCCTGCCCTGCAGCGGGAGGCTGTGTACGGGGCCCTCTCCTCTGGGCACTCAGGGCCACCCTGCACCGCTCCTGACCCTCTGTGGCCCCGGCTGACGCTCCTCGAGGCCGGGCCCCTCCACTGGATGGAGGGAGGCAGCTGTGTCACCTCTGGCCTGACCACCCATCCCACCTGGTTGGGACACCGGGGTCCTGGGACCTGGGTAATGCAGCGGAGGGGCGCGGTGGGGGGACGCCGGGCTGTCCTCACCTTCACAGTGCAGTCCTTCGAGCAGGACGCGAACTGGTAGCCTGAGTGGGAGAAGCTGAGGTGCAGGACCTGGTCCGTGTGCTCACGCAGCGTCTGCACCTCCACACAGGGCACCGTGTCATACAGCCGCTGGAACTCCTCCAACCAGGACTTGGCCGCTGTGGGTGGGCAGTGTCAGCCCGTGGCCCAGGCCTCCCTCCTCGCAGTCAGGGCCACAAGCTGAATGTGGCTTCCCCACTCCTGGCTACAGTCCTTGGAGCTTGGGGGAGGCTCAGCAGGGATCCCAGGGGGGCAGGAGTCCCAGGGGGCAGACGCCAGTGGTGCCCCTGGAACCCACAAGTCCTGGCGTAGGCCTCGGCTGGGGGGTATAACCCTGTCGTTCACAGAGACCCCTGTATTCCCTACCCTGCAAGTGACCCAGTGAAGCCTTAGGCCTCCAAACTGTGAGGGGGCCTGTGCTGTGTGCGGACAGGCCTGGATCAGGGTGAGGCTGTGGGGCGGGGGGACACTCGGGGCGCGGGCCAGGACCCCGCCAGGCTGACCCCCAAGCGCACGGACCTGGGTGTCGGGGCACGTCGCGGGCCACCTGGTAGAAGCGGTAGAACTGCTCCCTCCACAGGAACTCGTCCCGCGACACGTTGAGCCACTGGCGGCACACCAGCCCCGCGGCCAGCACGTCGGCCGGGCCCAGGCTCAGGAAGATCTGGTAGACCAGGCTGTCGGGGAGCAGGGGCGTGCCGCCCTCGTCCATCGTGACATTCTGCCCGGGCGGCCCTGAAACCACCAACGGCTGCGCTCAGCCCGGGCCCGAGCAGGGCGGCCGGGGGCGGGCGCCGGGGCCTCCGCGGGGCTGCGGGGGTGCGGGGGGCGCCGGGGCCCCGCGCCATCCCCGGCCCGCTGCGGCCCGCAGCGGGCGCCCCGCGGGACAGGCGCGCGCGAGGCACGGGGCCCGGGCGCCGACCCGGAACGCGCTCCGCGGGGACAGGCTCGGGGCGGCCGGGGAAGCCCCGGGGAAGCCCTGCCCGGCGGGGACGCGCGCGCGGGCGGCCCGGGGCTCCTGCACTCGCCCGGGGTGGGCGCGGCCGACGAGATCGGACCCCGAGGGCCGCAGGCGCACTCACCGCGGCCGCCTCCGCCCGCTGCGCCGCCCCCGCCCCGCGACGCCCGGACCCGCTTCCGCCGCCGCCGCCGCCGCCGCCGCCGCCGCCGTCCCCGTCCCGCGGGGAGCCCGCCAGGCGCGACGCCACGAGCCCCGAGGCATCGATGGCGACGGAAGGCCGAGCGCGCGGGCAGCCCGCGTCCGCCCCTCGTGCGCCTGCGTCTCGGGCCCGGCGGCCGGCCGGCGCTTCTTTGTGCGCCTGCGCGCACTCGGCCTCCTGGGGAACAGCGCCCCTTGCGGCCGGCGTGGCAGCGGTCGCGGGTGGGACTGCGGGCGAGGCTGCACGGCCCGAGGTTCGGGACCCGCCTCCGGCGCTTCCCGTTGCTGGGCCCTTCGTGGACCCCGTGACATTGGCCATAGAGCTAAGACCACTGGGTGATGGTTTAAGGAAGATAATGTGCAAACGGCTAAGGACTGACTGTCAGTGGAAGTCAGGGGTGCAAGGGAAAATGGATAAACAGCCAGAGGTCAACTTGGACTTTGTACATAGGACATGATGACAGGGCCCTGCTGGGAAGTGCAGATCGAAGCTGGGCTCACGAGAAGGCTGGGTGTGGGGTGTGGGGCTGGCCTGGGGCAGGGGTTGGAGAGTCAAGGGACGGACATGGACTTTCTGGGCTGGGCTCTGTGACTGCACGGCAGACTCTGGCCTTGGACTTGGTGCTGCCATTTCCCTCCCACGGTCTTGCCACCCTGCCACTGCCACCATGCTGCCCCCTGGGACTGCAATCCTCTTGACTCTGCTCCTGGCAGCCGGCTCGCTGGGCCAGAGGCCTCGGAGGCCTCCCCAGCCCCGATCCCCCATCAGCAGCATCCAGCCCAAGGCCAATTTTGATGCTCAGCAGGTAGAAGTTGTTGGGGGTAGAGGGAGGCAGGGGAGGGGGCACTCCCACGGTGCCCTCGAGTCCTCCTGTGGGCTGCCCCCAGTTTGCAGGTACTTGGCTCCTTGTGGCTGTGGGCTCTGCCTGCCGATTCCTGCGGGAGCAGAACCACCGGGCTGAGGCCACCACACTGCATGTGGCTCCCCAGGGCACAGCCATGGCTGTCAGCACCTTCCGAAAGCTGTAAGTCCCAGAGCAGCCCTGCACCCGAGCCTCACCCTCCTCTCTGCCCCGGACATCAACCCTGCCCTGGCCCCTGACCCCACCTGGGCTATGCCGGGACTAGAGTTCCCCGTTGGGGTCCCCCAGCCTGTGGTGCCTTCCCCCAGGGATGGGATCTGCTGGCAGGTGCGCCAGCTCTACAGAGACACGAAGGTCCCTGGCCGCTTCCTGCTTCAAGGTGAGGCAAGGGCTGCAGGGCCTGTGGGTGGCAGTGACACAGCCTCTGTGGCTCTCTGACGTGGCTACCGTGGCTCTGCCCTAGCCCGAGGCGCCCGAGGGGCTGTGCACGTGGTTGTCGCTGAGACCGACTACCAGAGTTTCGCTGTTCTCTACCTGGAGCGGGCAGGGCAGCTGTCGGTGAAGCTCTACGGTATGGAGGGCCCGGCCTCTGTGACTGGACAGGCACTCGAGCTCTGCACACTCACTGGGCCGTCCCGGGGGGCTGGTTGAGCCCAGGATGACATGCCCTCCCTCCGTCCCTCCCTCCCTCCCTCCCATCCTGACCCCCATGCTGAGCAGGGGCCCAGGGAGGATCAGTGACAGACAGGCCCGGTGTGGGGGCAGGGGACACACAGACCGTGACCCAGAGCTGTCCACGCGGCCTGGTGCCGGGACCCCAGGAGCCCTCTCTGCCCTGCAGCCCGCTCCCTCCCTGTGAGCGACTCTGTTCTGAGTGGGTTTGAGCAGCGGGTCCGGGAGGCCCACCTGACTGAGGACCAGATCTTCTTTTTCCCCAACTACGGTGAGTGTCCCCAGCAGCTCCCTGCCTCAGCCACCCCCACTTTCTGGGCTGACGTCCAGCCTGACCCCTGCCTTGGGCCCCCAGGCTTCTGCGAGGATGCAGACCAGTTCCACATCCTGGACGGTGAGTGCACAGTGGGGCAAGCGTGGAGGTGCGGTGAGGGGGGCCACGGCCAGCGGCTGAGTCTCCCCTCTGCTGCAGAAGTGAGAAGGTGAGGCCGGTGTGCAGCTTCGGTGCTGAGAAGTCAGTGCCCCGAGAGACAACCCCGCTGCCCGTCCAGAGCCCCCAGCTTCAGATCAGGACCCTGCCACCTGGGGCTGGGGGGGATCTTCTGCTGGCTGCCCCAGAGCACAGTGTGGGGGAGAGGCACCTTCTTATTAAATGTCTCAGCCTCCTCCCTGACTCTTTTCTGTCCACTCTGGAACTGCGCCAGTACCACCAAGGCCCCTGCCCCCCACGTGGTTGAAAGCCCAGGCTCCCTTTTGACGGGAGTGCATCCAGTGGGCACTGGGCTGATTTCACCAGCTCTGGGGATTTGGGAGGGGAAATCCTCCCTGCCAGACACCCACCTTGTGCCCTGCTGAGACCTGGGGGCTCCAAGTCTGCCCTCACCCAGTCCGTCGTCCTGCACCCCCAGGCTGCTCCTCTGTCTCTGTGGGGACCAGCTGTCTCCCGTCACTGCCCATCGTGGCCTCTTCCGAGCCGTGCTAGCACCAGCTGACCTGTGCCGGTGGCAGCAGTTGGTGGTGCCCACTCACGGCTGCTGCACTCTCTGCGCGCCCCATCCACTCCCACGTCCCCCCAGAAACCAGGAAGCAGAGCAGAACTAGGGGCGGGTCAGCTCTATCCTCGGGGCAGCCCCTGGGCTACAGCCAGAGGGTCAGGAACCGGGCACGGCTGGGCCACGCTGGGGCTGGACCTGGCTGCTCAGCTGCTCCCCTCAGGCCTCGCCAGGCCCTGGCACTTGTCTGATAAGCATTTCTGAAGGCCACAGTGTGCAGAGTCCTGGGGCCACTGGGTCGGCTGGTCCCTCCCGCTAGGAGCTCCAAGTCCATGGATCAGCCACCAACTGGCCACAGCAGGCAGAGGTGGGGGGAGAAGGTGCCTCGGACTTGGTCCCACACCCCCACTCTGCTCCCACCCCTCCCTACTACCCCTCCCACCCCTCCCTGACCGCTCCCACACCTTCCTCACCTCTGCTCCCACCCGTCCTCACCTCCATTCCCACTCCCCTCACCTCTGCCCCACTCCCCTCACCTCCTCTCCCACCCCTTTCCTCACCTGTTTCCCCCCACCCCCTCTTTCTTTGGACTTCGGAAGGACCCAGGACACCCAGGTGGCTGCAGGCCACGGGGCAAGAAGGGCCGCTGCCTGCTCCCTGGAGGTCCTGGCCCCCAGCTCTGACCACATTGCCTACTGGCCTGCTCCAGACAGGACAGGGGTATGTGGCCTGGTTGGGGGCTGGGAGGAGCCAGCAGCTGCCCAAGGGCTCCCCATCCCATGGGCGGGTGTCACCCTGCTGTGCCCACCCAAGTTTCCTCAGCTGCTGGACCCCCAGAAGGGCAGGCAAGTCGGGTGGTAGAAGGGGGGCAAGGTCCTGACTGCCAGGACCTGGGAGGGAGAAGGGCCAAGAGGTCACACCCTTGCATCGCCCGCGCCCACTCAAGCTCCGTGTCCCGGAGACCCACGGCATACAGACCAGCGTGCGGCAGAAGGGCTCAGCGTTCAGGGCTGGCAATGTGGGGAAGCCCCTGTGCCCGAGCCCTGGGACAGCCTCCTCCATGCCGGGCCCCCCATCCCCCAAACAGAAAGTGAGGGTCTCATCTGGGGGCAGGAGTCGGGTAGCTGGCCACGGTCACAAGCTTCCAAGAGGGCTGAACGTCCGAGGGGTGGCGCCAGAGACCCACCCATGACCTGGGGTGCCGCGGTTGGTGGGAGTGGCCCAGCCCGACTCCACCTCCCCAACTGCTGGGCTGGGTGGGTTCCTGCGCTGGGCGAAGTGTGTGGCCACTTGGCTGGCTGCACTGGGACCACAGGATTCGGAGCGCAAGGGTTACAGGTATTTCATTTGCACAGAAGCATTTAATGAGCTTTAGTTAAATTTCAGACACTACATCACATCACGGCAGCTCTGTGTGAATCACTATTCTTTAAAATAGTTTGCTTAATCTGGCTGGGCCTGGTGGCTCACGTCTGTAATCTCAGCATGTTGGAGGCCAAGGCAGGTGGATCACTTGAGGCCAGGAGTTACAGACCAGCCTGACCAACATGGTGAAACCCCGTCTCTACTAAAAACACAAAAATTAGCTGGACGTGGTGGTGGGTGCCTGTGATATCCCAGCTACTCCGGAGGGTGAGGCAGGAGAATCGCTTGAACCCAGGAGGCAGAGGTTGCAGTGAGCTGGGATCACGCCACTGCACTCCAGCCTGGGCGACAGAGCCAGACTCTGACTCAAAAAAAGAAAAAGTATACACACACACACACACACACACACACACGTATATGTTATACATTTACACACAGAAATGGTCAGGTGTGGTGGCTCACACCTGTAATTCTAGCACTTTGGGAGGACAAGGTGTGTGGGGAACACTCCCGTGTGAGACCCCTAAAAGACGTGAGTCTCACTATACGGTGAGTTTGATCCCAAACACAGTTTCCTACTGGAGGCAGTCGAGCTATCCGGAAATATAGGAACTGAAAGATGAATGATCAGTTTCTAATATCAACCACAATATCGTTTTGGGCCTAAAATTATGCGTTGCTGCTAGACCGAGTAACCCCCTACCAGCAACCGGTTCCTGCTTTTAACCTTTTTATGACTTTAAGAATAAGTTTTAACCTTTACTTACCGGACTGCCTTGTACCCTAGATAATGGTTTAACTGTCGATATTTGCAAAGCAAAATGCCAACATAGGGATGGCTTTGATTCCTGACTCAGAGATTCCTGAATGGGGAAGTTGAGTTAAGTTGAGTCAGGAGTAGACAAAGGAGAATCTGATTAAAAGATATTCTGATGAGCAAAACCAAAAAACCTTTTCACATTTCAGTTCTAAAACAAGGTCAAACCAGAGATACCTGCAGCCAGGAGGAATAATGTTTGGATATAAAACAAGCCTTGTGAATGATGTTTGGATATAAACAAGCTTTGTGAATAATGTTTGGATATAAACAAGCTTTGTGAATAATGTTTGGAAACAAACTTTGTGATCATAGAAAATTTTGTTACTTTTTACAACCATTGATTGCATATCTGACTTCTCTATTGTATAGGCCATGTGAGGCATACATTTACATTCCTCTTACTATGACGTAAACCAGAGCCAAGAAAGTGTATTTATTCCTGGTCTTTGAAAAATAAAACTTGCTGTTTAGGCACAGCCTATCAGCCCTCCAGAGGCCTCGCTTTCTCTCTCTCTGTCTTTATTAATTTTCCAGGCGCACTCCCTCTTCCAGGTATTGGGACCCTCTTGCAGGTCGAGAGACCCCCGGGCAGACGTGCCTACCCGCCGGACGGTCCACGACAAAGGTGGGCGGATTACTTGGGGTCAGGAGTTTGAAACCAGCCTGGCCAACTTGGTGAAGCCCCATCTGTTGGGGGGAAACCCTGAAAGAGCTGAGGCAAGGGTCTGAGGCCTCAGCATGTTCTCATATAAACATAGAAGCAAATGAATTAGAGATACAGTTGGTTATTCCTATATATAATCGTACAATAATCACATAGCTTATTCGTGTGTAATCAGAAACGTATACATATATATTCACATGATCTTTAATCTTATTAACAAGTCTCAAGTCAAGAAGCGTGGGACTGAAGTGGCATCGGGAAAGAGGTGACCCTGAGGCGAGATGCTCTAAGCCCTCTGTCCCGCCGCATAAGGGCTGCTGGAGGACGCCTCGGCTGTGTGACAGTGTCAGCGCTGGGAAAGCGCCCGCTGTTTAGCCAGCTAGGGAAGGAGACGTCCAAGATGGCGAGACATCTCCGTCCTCGGGGGAGTGAGGAGAAAGCTCCGCTCTTAGAAGCTCTCGTGGCAGGCCCGGCGGCCGTCAGGGAGGCCCACAGACATCCAGGGACCTGTCTCTGTGTGACGCTGTGCTTCGGCAGCCACGCTCCATGGCTGCTTTCAAGTTCTGCTTCTGCACCTGGTTCCTCTTTTCCTTAGAAGATGAGAATTAGTAACAGTGACACAGACCTTAGTGACCTTGCTATTTCTTGACAAGTATGAAGAAAGTGCTGACGCCTCAGGTTTTCTCCTCGCCTCGGCTTCTTCACAGTCTTGGGCCCCCCCACTGTCTCCAGGACACGTGACTCACCTGACCCTGTCACTGACCACCGTTACCTCACCCCACCTGCCCTGCCCCCTGCTTTGTGCTCAGTAAAAGTCAGAGCGTCCAGGCACTCGGGGCTACAGCTGGTCTCCGTGCTTTGGGTAGCAGTGGGCCCTGGGCCCAAACTCTCTTTTCTCCTTGGTGTCTTGTGTCTTTTATTTCTGCAGTTTCTCGTCTCCACACCAGCAGGGAGGGACTCACGGGACCCTGCAGGGCTGGACCCTACACCCGTCTCTACTAAAAATACAAAAGAATTAATTGAGCATGGTGGTGGGTGCCTGCAATCCCAGCTACTTGGGAGGCTGAGGCAGGAGAACTGCTTGAACCTGGACGCAGAGGTTGCAGCGAGCCGAGATGGTGCCACTGCCCTCCAGCCTGGGCAACAGGGTGAGACTCCGTCTCAATTAAAAGGATCTTTTAACAAAAAAGAAGAAAATGACCTTTGGAGTCAGGAGCCCAGGACTGTTCCGGGGGCCCCACCGTCTGGCCTGGACGTGAGGCGGCTGTGCTGCCCGCGGCGCCCCTGGTCCCACAGGCAGGCCAGACTGTCCAGGGCTGTGTGCCCCGTCCCCCTCTGGCCCGGTTCTCCCCGCGCACGCGACTGCTCAGTGGGACGGGGCGGGGAGGGGGGGTGGCGGGACTCCCGCACTTGGGGACGGCACCCTCCTCCCCTCCCTGCCACGCCCCAGCCGCCCCTGCCGCCACCCCACCCCAGGGGGCCTCCCAGTGCCCAGGACCCCCGAAGAGAGAGGGGAGGGGGAGCAGAGGACAGGTCGGGAGCTCTGGGGACCCAGGAAGACGCAGTTGGGGGAGCCTGTTCTTGCTGCGGGGGAGGCAGAGGTGGGGGAAGGAACGGAGCAGCGGGAAGAAGCCCGGACTGAGGGGCCGGTGGGAGAGGCCGCAGGGACCGGCCCCCATGGCGGGCTGGGGGTCCCGGGAGCGGAGCGGAAGCGGCGCGGGGGGCGGAGGGCAGAGCCAGGACTGCCCCGGGCGCCCCGCAGGTGCCCCCAAGCCCGCGCCCCGCAGGCCCGCCCCAGCGCCCCGGCCAACCCGGGAAATGCCCCTGAGGCCCTGAGCCCGTGCGGCGGGGTCACATGCCCTCCCCCGACCCAGCGCGTCGGACGGGAGGGGCGCGCCCCAGACCACTGTCCCGCCCAGGAGGCTCCCGAAGGGGCGTCGGGGGCACCGAGGCTGATGGCCACCCGCGGGCACACGCAGACCCCGGGGCGGCAGGAGTGGGTCCTGGGGGCGCGCCTGCGGCTTGGGCACTGCCTGGGCCCAGGGATCCGCCTCTGTGTCGTGGACTCTGCCCGCCTGACCTCTGCTGCCCTGGGGTCTCTGTGGGGCTGGAGCTGGCCAGGGAAGGCCCGGTCTCCCGCAGGGCCCTGCCTGGTAGGGCGGGGTGGGGGGGGGGCCGTGGCAGGGACCGTCTTCTACACGGTGTGTGCTGTGATCCCACATCTCCCCCACGCCTGGCGATAAGCCGGACTCCGAGAGGGGTGCCTGCTGAGCCTAGAGCAGGACCCTGGAGCTGCTGACAGGAGCTCCCTGGCTGGCTTGGGCGAGGGGGATGCTGGAGAGTCAAAGGCTCCCCTGGGGAGCTCAGGGGAGTGAACACATTCCTTCCAACTTTTCTTTTCCTGGGCCAGCCTCCCGAGACCTGCAGCTGTGCAGGTGAGACAGGCACAGCAAGGGCCCTTCCGCGCGGGCAGCGAGGCCGGGGACGGAGCCCAGCCCTGGAGCCCTCAGGTCCCCGGGGCCAGGCTCTCTGAGTGGCCAGGCTGGGGCTGCCACCCAGGGCCAGCTGCCGAGGCCCATGGCACTCCTGGGATGAGCCCAAGTCCCTTGTGAGCAGGGCTGGGTGAGAGGAGGAGGCGGCCAGGAGAGGGAGTCTGGGGTGGAGAAGGTGGCTATTGCTGAGACTTGTTCCCAGTATAGTGATGTGGATTCAAGATCTCTCAAAGTGATTGAGTGGTTGGTGAAAAGGAAAAAAAAAAAAAAAAAAAAAGACAAAGAAACAATTTTCTTCAAAGCTGGGCCCAGGGGAGACACCACATAAAGCCGCTTGGTGGATGTCTGACGTTTCCCTGAGAACCTCAGCTTTTATTGTGCTTTCAACAGGGGAGGGTGAGCAAGGTTGCACAAAGTTCCAGTGATAATTATACAAAAAGAATACATTTGCAAAACCTGGTGCACAAAAATCACAACGTGGTATTGTAAAAGCAGAACAATGCAAAGATAACTTTCTGCGTGTCAGCACCTTAGCAAGAAGAGAGGTTAAACATAAACTTATGATTTATCAGCAAGAACACTTTGGGCTCACAGCTGCGGGGGACAGGATCTGACACAGGACAGCCAGCCTGACCACAGAACTGCAGGGGAGAGGCCTCCACGCAGGCCTAGAGGAGCCGGGGGAGAAGAGAGACTTACATCCTTGTCTCCACCACAGAGACAGGCGCCCCTCAGGGTCCATTTATCGGCTCTCCATAAGGGTTGCATCCCCTTTCCAGGGCCCTAATCAATCTGCCTGTCCTGGGAAGGAATCCAGGTAACAAGCCTCTCCACTACGTGTCCCTGTGTGGGCTCTCTGCAGTGAGAAGCCCATGACACGCTGTGTGGTTAGTCCCTTTCACAGAGTTCCTGTTTTTACCAGAGCCAAAGTCACAAGTCACATCTCAGCATTTCACATTTTTCTTCATTTTCTCTACAGTCGACACAGTAAGTAACAAATATCACAAAGCAAATAACACCTTACGGGTAAACCAAATTCTAAGAGGAATTACAGGTTAAAAATCAACAATTTCTTCTTGTTATTTCAGACAGCTTGGGTTTTGCCAGTTCTTCCAGGAGCTTGGGGTTGCTCAGTCACCGCCAAGGGGTCCACGGTATTCCCGGCAGGTGGCCAGGACAGGGAGTCAGGGGATCCCGGGGTGGGAGGAGGCGGCCCTGGCGGGGCCCGCAAGACAGGCCCACTGTGAGTGGGAGGCACCTGGCTGGGCCGTGGTGACTCTATAACATGGAGCCCAGCGCCCACAGGCCTCGGCTGCCTGCGGGGTGGGAGGAGAAGAAGTCAGGAAGGGGACTCCACTCCCTAACCGCATGGTCCAAGAGGTGCCAGGACAGCTAGAAGCCCCAAGTCTGCCAATGCCCTCCCTGCCAGCCCTCTTTTTAAATTTTATTTTTATATTTTGAGAGATGAAATCTCACTCTGTTGCCCATGCCAGGGTGCAGTGGCACCATCATAGCTCGCTGCAGCCTCAAACTCCTGGGATAAAGCGTTCCTCCCACCTCAGCCTCTCAAGTAGCTGGGACCACAGGCATACACCATCACACCCAGCTAATTTTAAAATTTTTTGTAGAAATGTAGTCTCGCTACATGGCCCAAGGTGGTCTCAAACTCCTGGGCTCAAGCGATCCTCCCTCCTTGGCCTCCCAAAGTGCTGGGATTATAGGCGTGAGCCTCTGCCCCCGCCTGCCAGCCCTCTCTTTCAGGCAGGACGTGGGCCACACTCTCATTAATGGGACTTCCCAGACCTGCTCCTCCCTCCGGGAAGAGGCTACCTTTGCAATGCCCCAGCTGTCCTCACCCGGGTGGCCGAGGCCCCAACCTCCCCCTGCTCCGGCCACTTCCATCCCTGCCCTCCTGGCCGCAGGCCCCTCCCTGGTCCTGTTCTTGCTCAGGGCCAGGCCCACGCTGCGGGTCAGGCACGTGGGGAGCCGGGTGGGGTCTGGCAGGCCCAGGCCCTGCAGGAGGAATGCCTGGCCTAGGCCACAGCTGGGTCCTGTGCCTTAGGGCTGCGGCAGGTCACGCTCTCTGCCTAGGACACAACATTCCAGGACAGGGAGGGAAGCTGGGGCGGGCTGCCTGGGCGTCTGAACCCCCAGCATGGGCACTTGGAAGGGGGCCAACGGGATGCAGGGCCTCAGGAACGAGAAGACGAGGTGGAAGGTGGCCCTGAGGGGGCCCTCCTACCCTGCCTGACTGCCCCGCCCAGCTCACCCCAGGCCTGCCCTGGGCACCACCTCTCCTGCCAGGCCTCAGGAGGGAGGCAGGAGGTGCATCCCCTTGGGAGTGGCACCTGCAGGGTACACACATAAAGAGGTGGGTCTCTGGGTCATCCTGCCCATAGCCACTTCCTTTTCGCTGTCCCTGTGGGCCTGGCAGCTGCCAGGATGAGGCTGTCCTGCGGCCTGTGGCTGTGGCTCTCCTTGATGAAAGTCCTTCAGGGCCAGACCCCAACCCCCCCGCCACTCCCGTCCCCGATGCAGAGCTTCCAAGGAAACCAGGTACGAGGCCACAGCTTCCAAGGAAACCAGGTGCCGGGAGAGGTGGCCGAGCAGGCCTGGGGGTGCTGCACGGAGAGTCAGGACCGGCCCTGCTCCCGGGTGGGCCCCCGACCTCCAGCAGTGCACACCCGCCTGGCACCCGTCCTGCTCCCTACTGCCACCCTCTCCCATTGCTCCCTCTGTGCATGAGGGGAAACCGAGGCCCAGGAAGGCCGCACAGCCGCTGGCCAGGGTCACTGTGTCCCTGCCAGACCCAGGTCGGCTCCGGTTCCTGCCAGTGTCCCTGGCGCTGGAGCACTGCTCTGTGAGGGGCCCTGGCCCAGGAGCTGCCAAGGAGGGTGGGAGGGGGCTCCTGGCCCCGCCCATTGTCCCCCTGCAGTTCCAGGGGGAGTGGTTCGTCTTGGGCCTGGCGGGCAACAGCTTCAGGCCGGAGCACAGGGCGCTGCTGAACCCTTTCACCGCCACTTTCGAGCTCAGCAAGGACGGCCGCTTTCAGGTCTGGAACGCCATGACTCGGTGAGTGGCCATCCCCCGCCCCCCGCCCCAATCCAGGCAGGTGAGGAGGATCGAGGGCTGGGTCCCAGCAGCCTGAGGCTCAGGTGCACCAGGAGCCCTGTGCCTCATGCTGCTGCCAATGACCAAACCCAGCCCGGAAGTACATACAGAAACATGCAGGTGGCTGGGCCCTGGCTCACACCTGTATCCAAGCTCTTTGGGAGGCGGAGGCAGAAGGATCGCTTGAACTCAGGAGTTTGAGGCCAGCCTGGGCGACACAGGCACCACCTCCACTCATGACGCTTGGCCACTCCCGCCGTGGGTCCCTCTGAATGAGCGGCCGAAATCTTCTGGGGGGGCCCACCTTGGCATGGACCTGCCAGCTTCCAGAAACTTCCGCCTCCACCCGTCTCCTCCCACAGAGGCCAGCGCTGTGACACATGGTCTTATGTGCTGATTCCAGCCACACAGCCCGGGCAGTTCACTGTGGACCACGGCAGGGGTGAGCGGGTCACAGCAGGGAGGGACCGGGCGCCGGCCCACAGGGACGTGACGTCTGTGTCCCCTCAGAGCCCGGGGCGGACAGAGAGGAGATCCGGGTGGTGAACAGCGACTACACCCAGTTTGCGCTGACGCTGTCCCGCAGACACACGGGCAGCCTGGCCATCCTCAGGATCAGCCTGCTGGGTGAGCCCCCGCCCCGCCCCGGGCCTGTGTGTGGCCCTGGCGGCCCCTCCTTCCTGGGGTTCCCATCCTTGCCTCCCCACCCGGCCTGGAGTGACTTAGGGGTACAGACAGCTTAATCTCCCCCTGCCCACCCTGGCCACCCACCCACTGCCAAGTGCACAGACCCACGCCGGGCTCCCTGGGCTGCAGGCAGGAGCTGGTTCCTGCCTCCCGGGACGCTGGACCTGTTCATCTGCCTGGGCAGAGCTCACGGCCTCTCGGACGACAATATTGTCTTCCCAGATGTGACTGGTAAGGGCTCACCTACAGGCAGGCTGGGCAGTGGGCACCGGGCCTGCCGGAATGAGTCTGCTTGACCCTGGAGGGACGGGACCTGGTGTCTGCCCATGGAGCTCCCTCAGGCTGCACTCAGGGGTCTCAAGGCTACTGGGTCCCTACTCTCAACCGAGGCTCTGAGCCACCTCCTCCCACCCTGGGTCCCCTATCCTAGCCATCTCCTCCCCTCACCCAGCCCTGTTCACAAAGAGCTTGGACTCATCCCAGGCAGTGTCCTGGGCCTCAGCCTGCCCCGGGTGGCTGCCCCAGCCTGCCCACTCAGAGAGTCTCGGCTCCCAAGACCTGACTCTTCTTGCAGAAGGGCGAGGACAGCCCCGAGCACCTCCTCTTCCAGGAGCGTTGCCCATCGTGCCCTTCTGATTCCTGCCTCTCGTCCTTTACACGTGCATAGCCTCATGCACACACACACATGTGTAAATGTGTACAGACTGGCACATGGCTGCACATGCAAACACCCACTTAGACACACAGGCACTCATACTTGCACACATGCTGTATACTCACGCAAGGCACGAGTGCTGGTGTGCACGCACCTACACACACCTGCACGCTCCTGCCCACACCTGTAGGCTCCTGCATACACCTGCACGCACCTGCATGCACCTACACACACCTGCAGGCTCCTGCACACACCCGCACGCACCTGTACACATCTGCACACACCTGTACGCTCCTGCACACACCTGCCCACACCTGCATGCACCTACACACACCTGCACGCTCCTGCCCACACCTGCATGCACCTGCAGGCTCCTGCACACACCTGCCCGCACCTGCATGCACCTGCACGCACCTACACACACCTGTACGCTCCTGTACACACCTGCACACACCTGCATGCATCTGCACACACCTGCCCACACCTGCACATACCTGCCCACACCTGCAGGCTACTGCACACATCTGCCCACACCTGCACGCACCTGCCCACACCTGAACACACCTGCATGCTCCTGTACACACCTGCCCACACCTGCACATACCTGCACACACCTGCATGCATCTGCACACACCTGCCCACACCTGCAGGCTCCTGCACACACCTGCAGTCTCCTGCACACACCTGCCCACACCTGAACATACCTGCATGTATCTGCACACACCTGCCCACACCTGCAGGCTCCTGCACACACCTGCACACTCCTGCAGGCATCTGCACACACCTGCATACCTCGGCACGCACCTGCACACACCTGTAAGCTCTTGTATGTACCTGCTCACACCTGCACGCTTCTGCACACACCAGCACACATCTATACGCTCCTGTATGCACCTGCTCGCACCTGCACACACCTGCACGCTCCTGCACAGACCGGCACACACCTGTGCACTCCTGTATGCACCTCACCTGCACGCTTCTGCCCACACCTGCACGCTCCTGCACAGATCAGCACATACCTGTAGGCTCCTGTATGCACCCCACACAGCTGCACGCTTCTGCACACACCTGCATGCTCATGTGCCAGGCCTCCTGGGTCTGCAGTGAGTCTGGGGGCCCATGGGGCCAGGTGGGGCCAGGTGAGGGGGTTCCTCAGGACCCAGGGCTGTTGGCAGGACAGCCCCTGTGGGCCACATCCTCTGCCCCTTCCCGGCCTCCCCCACCCCAGCCCCTTCCCCTAAGCCCACTGTTGGTCCCCTGTCTCCCTATTGCTCCTTCCCTGAAGCCACCTGTCCCCTCCTTTGTACCCCCCGGCTTCATCCTGGGCTCTGTCCCCCGCTCTCCCCTTGTCCACTGTCCCTACTCCATCTCCCCCACCAGGCTTCTCATCCCAGGTCAGTGGCTGTTGAAGCTTGAAGCAGCTCCTGCCGCGCCCAGCCCTGCCTCAGGGCTTCCAGCTCTGCCCTCTGCTCTCAAACCTGAATAAATGCACCAAGCCCGGAACCCCAGAGTGTGACCACTGTGACCTTGGCTGGGCAGGGGGACAGGGACAAGGAGACCACTGACCCTCCAGGGCCAAGAGAGCTCCTTCCCTGCCCCCCCACGGCCCCCTCCCCAGCTCAGAGCTCCTTCTCTGGTCCCCCACAGCCCCCTCCCTGGCTCAGAGCTCCTTCCCTGGCACCCCATGGCCCCCCGCCAGCTCAGAGCGCCTTCCCTGGCACCCGCCGGCTCTCTCCAGCCAGCATGTGTGTGTGTGTCAATGAGAGTGTGCACATGTGTGTTCGTGCGTGAGTCTTTGCACGTGATTGTGGGTTGTTGGCAGGGCAGCTCCTGGGGGCCACATCCTCTGCTCCTCATCCTGCCCTTGGGCCCTCGGCTGTATGAGTCGCAGACCCTTCTGCAATTGCACCCTGGCCGGCACTCAGGGCCGCTGCATCAGGTGCAGTGGGCTGAGCTCGCCCCGGGAATACTCGGCCCCTGAGGTGTCCCAAGCAGTGGCTGCGCTGTCAGGCAGGCTCACCTGGAGCTCCCAGGGCCCTGGAGCAGGAGGAGGCCTGGATGCAGATGCCTCAGGCCTGGAAGAGGGGATGTGGGGACAAGCAGCTGCAGACTGGAGCCTGCTGGGCACAGAGACACGAAGGTCTGAGGCCACAACCCAAAACCCCACTCCCAGCCGGAGCCCCCCAACCCTGACTGGACAGCTTGCAAGATGGCTGCATTTGGAAGCCCAGCCCCAGCGGCCAGCCAGAGCAGCCTCTCTCTCAGTCCTGCCATGTCTGTGTCCCCCACTGTCCTCCAGGCAGGGAGAGGAGGGCACTGCCCAGGGCAGCCATGGACCCTCGTGGTCTCTGGCCTTGCTAGAGAGCAGAGAGCATCCAGAGGCCCCCAGCTTGTCACATCTGCAGGCACGTGCTGATCTGTACACATTTGCATATGCGTGAGTGTGTGTGCACATGGCTGTGCACATGTCAAGGACCAGAGGCAGGAATCAGAAGGGCACGGTGGGTGCCCCGCTTTCACCCACTGGGAATACCCCTCTGCTCAGGAGCCTGGCCCCGCTGAGAATCCTTCCACCATCACGTGCACCCCTGCTGGGCAGGCTGTGTGGGATCCAAGCAGATTCTGAAAGTGGAGGGTGGGCAGAGACAGCAGACGTCCGGGAATCCCTCCTGCCCTGATGACCTCAACAAGGTAGACCCCCAAGATCAACTCGATGACACCTGTGGTGCTTACTGCAGCCACAATTCAACTTTCTCTGTGTGTCTGACTCCCCAGCCCACAACCCCGACAAGGCCAGGTACAGGCCTGCTATGTCCATCTCTGTCCCACACTCCAGCATGGCACCCAACACAGAGAAAGCTGCTGAATGATGCGTGGATGGATGAATGGATGGGTGGGTAGGTGAATAGCTGGATGGATAATTTAGACGATGAGTGAGTGGGTGGATGATGGGTGGGTGGGTGGATGGAAGGATGGTTGGATGATTGGCAGGTGGGTGGATGGATGGATGGATGATGGGCAGGTGGGTGGATGGATGGACGGATGATGGGCGGGTGGCTGGCTGGATGGATGATGAGCAGGTGGGTGGATGGATGGTTGGATGATGGGCGGGTGGGTGGATGGATGGATGGATGATGGGCGGGTGGGTGGATGGATGGATGGATGATGGGTGGGTGGGTGGATGGATGGATGGATGATGGGCGGGTGGGTGGATGGATGGATGATGGGTGGGTGGATGGATAGATGAGTGGATAAACGGATGGGTGGGTAGGTGGATGGATGGGTGGATAGTTGGATAAGGAGTAGGTGGATGGATGGGTGGATAGATGAATGGTGAGTGATGGATGGATGATGCTTTTTTACTTTTGTTCTTGTGCCCTGGATGAGGAGGCTGAGGCTAAAAGCAGCAAGTTTGGTTGTGTCTGGATTGAGAGACTTTCTGTACCAGATGGTCACGAGGACACAAGCCTGGGTGTCAGGAATCCTGGACCACGGCCTGGCACGTATGGACCATGGCCTGGCGTGTGTGGACCACGGCCTGGTGTGTATTGGATTTCCCCCCGGGAAGGCTGAAAGTGATAGTGGCTGTCTTTTGGCAGAAAGGGCCTGTTGCTGTTCCTTCCTGAACATGTCAAGGAAGGTTCACTCCACCCTGGGATGGGGGTCAGACACAGGGTCCCCAGAGCAATGGCCTCCCTCTCCACCGCCTCAGCCCTTCCCCTCACCTCTCCTCCTGCTGGGCCATGGTGTGACGCCCGGCTGCTGCATGGGGTCCAGGCAAGGATCCTGGCCAAAAGAGAGGAGTGGCCTGGGGAGCTCGGCTTGAGCAAGGAGCCCCACCCCGCCCTGACAACCTAAGGGAGACTCCGAAGGCCACTTCTCCCTCCTGACCTGGCACGGCCTTCGTCTTCAGTTCCTCTGCACAAATGGTTCCGGAAGGCTGCCTGGTCACTTGGTGGGGTCACTCTCCCCTGCCAGCTTCCCTCCCCCAAGGCAGCGAACACAACCCCGGTTGGATCATAACCACCAAACGCAGGTGGGACCCGCCGTCTTCTTGGCACCGGGCTGCACCCTCCTGTGGTGGCCAGCTCCCCAGACACAGGCAGGGGCAGGGAGTCAGACTCCCCAGCGGTCCCTCCCGCTCCCCTGCTTCCCCTCCCCCTCCCCCTCCCCCTCTCCCCTCCTCTTTCCCCCTCCTCCCTCTTCCTCCTCCCTCCTCCCCCTCCCCTTTCCCCCTCCTCCGCTCCCCTCCTCCTCCCCCTCCTCCTTCCCCCTCCTCCTCCCTGGTGTTGTCTCTGTGCACAGCCCAACACCCTGCCCCTCCCTCCACGTCACCTCCTGGGGAGAAAAGATCCTGCCTAGGCCTGTGTTCCTTCCCAGCTCCTATGGGAAGGGCAGCCTTCAGGCCTGGCTGGATCCAGGACCTCGGCCACCTTCTTCTGCTTTGCTGACCCCAGCAGGAGCAGCTGTGCCGTCCCACTGGCCCACTTGGCTCCCACCTGGGTTGCAGGATAGCGTGTCTCCCAGAATTCCTCAGTCCTGGGTGGAGGCTGTGTCTCACGTCAGTGGTCAGAGGGCCCCTCCATACAGCACTCTCTATCTTGGACTCTGGCTACCACAGCCCCTCTCATTCCGTCTCTCCTGGGGTGACACAAGTCTCTGGCCCGGATGGTAGCCCTGGTGTGAACCTCCTCCCTCTCAGGTCCTCCAGGGGCACCAGCAACTCCCTGCTGAAGGCCCCTTCCCATGTCTCCCTGCACTAGGGGACAGGGCTGGGAGCAGGTGGCGTAGAGCTGAGGCCAGGCAGGTGGTCCAGGGATGTCTGCCCACATGTGCCCAGCCCACAGGGGCCAGACACAGACCAGAGACAGTGCCCGCCTGCCCACCTGTCTGCTTGCTGGAGTCGACCCAGGCTGGCCCAGTGCGGTGGGGTGTCCTGCTGGACCCTGTGCCCACGCCCCACACCGCAGCCCAGGCCCCTGTGGGTGGCTGATCGAATCTCTTTATCCTGGCCGGGGTGGAGCTGCTCCCAGCTCACCGTCTGGGCCTGACGGGCCTGGAAACAGCCTGTGCCTGCGGCTCCCACAGAACAGGGTCAGTGGGGCTTGCGGGCAGGGGGGTCTGGGTGGAGGGGCTGCTCCTGGGGCTACCATGACCTCCAGGCTCAGCACCCCAAGGTGGCAGAGGGGGCCGTTCCCCGAAGGCAGCTGTGGTCCCTCTCAGCCGTGTCCAGGGCCCCACTACGGCCACACGGAGGCCCTGCCCGCGACAGTGACCACAGGAGCCTGGGCCTGCGACAGCAGCCGTAGACAGGCCACCCAGGGCTCTTGCTGGGTATGTTGGGCTCCAGTGGGAAGCAGCTCCCACACGGCTCACGGTGGGGAGGGGCCCTCTGGCCTCGCCCCACGACACCCCTTCCCAGGGCTCATGTCCCTTCCAGCCACCCTACCCATGGGGCACGTTCCTTCCCCAGGCTGCCCCACAGGAAAAGCGCTCCGCCATGCGCACTGCCCAGGGAAGGCTGAGCAGGCGGGGACGGGGCTTGCAAGTCTGGGTCAGGCTGTCCACAGGCACGGGGGCGGGGGCGGGGGGAGCTGGACCCAGCTCCTCTTTGAACTGCTCAGACCTGGGGCAACCCGGTGGTGGCTCCTGGGTATCTACCCCAGTGCCCCAGACTAGGAAACAGAGGCACGGGTGGTGGAGGGCCTGCCAGGGACGCCCACGCTGCTTTTCTGGGGTCAGGCTGCGGAGCCCCTGGGCACAGCAGGAAGCGCGGGGTCCCCTCAGCGCTGTTCTGTCTTTTCGGGCCCTGGGCCCGCCCCGTTCAGGTCTTTGTCTGAGGGTGTGGGGAGGCGGACGCAGCTGCACCCTGACCTCAGAGTGGCCTGACCTGGGTTCGGGGCTAGGTCAGAAAACAGACACAAAAGGCCACAAACTACATGGTTCCATTTACAAAGTTCTAGAAGAGGCCAGACTCGTCTCCGGTGATGGGAATCAGGTCTGCGCTGCTGTGTCCGGGGTGGGACGTGGCGAGGCGGGGCAGAATGTTCTGTGGCTGCAGTGAGGGTTCTGCCTACAGCTGGAGGGGCGGGGCGCTGGAATGTTCTGTGTTGCAGATGGGAGCACGGCCTGCAGCAGGCAGGTGCCGGGTGAGGGGGTGGCTGGAATGTTCCATGTTGGGATCAGGTTTTGCTCACGAGGGTCCTGGGGCTCATCGAGGTGTGTGATTCTGGTGCCCGGATTGCTGAGTGCCGAACACGCCTCGCTGGAGCTCACGTTCCAGAAACGAAGACTAAATGAGGACTTTTCAAAGAAATAAAGCCTGCAGAAGTTCATCGCCAACAGACCCTTAATAAAAAAACACTCAAGGATGTTCTTCAATCGGGAGGAAAACAATCTCAGAAGGGCGTCCAGGAGGGCTGGGGAGGGAAGGGAAGGCTGGGCCTGGGGGGGCTGCGCCGCAGCTGTGTGGGTTCCACCACTGAGGCGCACAGGACGCCTGCCAGGCTTGACCAGGAGAGCAGGGCAGGCAGGGCTCGCGGCCTCACTCCTGTCATCCCCGCACTTCGGGAGGCCGAGGTGGGGGAGGGGATCACCTGAGGTCAGGAGTTCGAGACCAGCCTGGCCAACATGGTGAAACCCATCTCTACTAAAAATACAAAAATCAGCCAGATGTGGTGGTGGGCACCCATAGTCCCAGCTACTTAGGAGGCTGAGGCATGAAAATTGCTTCAATCTAGGAGGTGGAGGTGGCAGTGAGCTGAGATCATGCCACTGCACTCCAGCCTGAGGGGTAAAGCAAGAATCTGCCTCCAAAAAAAAAAAAAAAAGAGAGAGAGAGAGAAAGAAATGACTTAATCCAAAAGGAAGCAAGAAATGAGAGAACAGGTGGCAGCAAGAGGCGGGACAGAGGCGGCTCCATGGTGGGACGTGGTGATGCCCCAACACCCACCAGCAGGTGCCCGGATGCCCGCCAGCAGGTGCCCCGACGCCCTCCAGCAGGTGCCTGGATGCCCACCAGCAGGTGCCCGGACACCCACCAGCAGCGCCACACCTGATGCTCCACGTGCCCCTCTGCCTCATGTGGGTCAAACTCCTCCCACTGGGTGCTGGGCTCCCAGGTGTGGGTCTGGGTCTGTGTCTGGGCGCAGGGCACACGTTCATGTTCGTATCTCAGTACATCCACAGCCCCTCCCACCAGACAGAGCCCATAGTCCCTGCTTTCATGTCTCCAGGGCCTGGCACGGAACAAGAGGCCCTGAGCCATGCAGGAAGAGCTGGGGGGCACACGCCGGGACTGCAGGGCCTGGGGCTGCTGCACAGATGGGCATCTACCTGGACTAGGGAGCTCAAGGGCCTGCAGGGACAGGGCTGCCAGGGGAACAGTGTGCAGGGCGGCTGGGAGTGGGGCCTGGAGCCTTGGCTGAGGGGAGCGGGGGCTCCTGAGCCCAGGGCCGCCCCGCTGAGCAGGCCCAGAACTCCCTATCCCTCAGGCCATGCCTGATCCGGTCTCTTTATCTTGGCCACCAATTGGGCCTGCTGGGCCCGGCCCAGATGCCTGAGGGTTTCCAGCCCGCCTCTGCTTGTTTTTTTCAGGAGGAAGGAGGAGGGTTGGGGCAGAGTCATCTGGGGACTGACTGGGCCACGTGGGGCCAGGCTTGCAGAGAGCTGAGCTGGAGACTCCCTCCGACACTGGGCCCTGGCCCCCTCCCCGCGTCCCAGGGAGGCCTGTTTTCCCAGTAACTCCTTGGCATGGGAAACTTGGCCCTGGTCCAAGATTCTTGGAGAGACACCCCACGCACCCCACGTGTGCAAGGGGGGACTTGGGGCTCCGGCCAGGACAGCCCACAGGATCAGGAAGGCCACCAGGGCCCACACAGCACGGGACAGGTGGGCCGAGGGGCCCTGCTCTAATCCTGGGGTGTGGGGAGGAGGTCCAGGCCCAGCAGGCCCAGTTGGTGGCCAAGATAAAGAGACCGGATCAGGCATGGCCTGAGGGACAGGGAGTGCTGGGCCTGGCTGAGTGGGCGGCCCTGGGCTCACCAGCCAGCAGGAGCCCCCGCTCCCCTCAGCTTCCTGTGTGTTGGGGGCCCCTCTGCTGAAAACGAGGTGCTATGGTATGAATGTGTCCCCATATTTCATGTGTTGACACTTAATCCCCAAATCCACTTTTATTTTTTAAGGCAGGGTCTTTTGGTTGGGTGCGGTGGCTCACGCCTGTAATCCCAGCACTTTGGGAGGCAGAGGCAGGTGGATCACAAGGTCAAGAGTTTGGAACCAGTCTGACCAACATGGTGAAACCCCATCTCTACTGAAAATACAAAATTAGCCATGTACGGTGGCACACGCCTCTGATCTCTTGAACTCAGGAGGCAGAGCTTGCAGTGAGCCAAGTTCGCACCATTAGACTCCAGCCTGGGCAACAAGAGCAAAACTCCATCTCAAAAAAAAAAAAAAAAAAGACAGGGTCTCGCTCTGTCGCCTAGGCTGGAGTGCAGTGGTGCAATCTCAGCTCACTGTAGCCTGGCTCCCCGTGGCTCAAGCCATTCCCCAACCTCAGCTTCCCAAGTAGCTGGGACCAAAGGTGCGCTGCGAGGCCCGGCTAATTGTTAAGTTTTTTGTAGGGAAGGGGTTTCTCCACATTGGCCAGGCTGGTCTCGAGCTCCTGGGCTCACGTGATCCTGCAGCCTCAGCCTCCCGAAGTGCTGGGATTATTACAGGCATGAACCACCGTGTCCAATCCTCCCTGTAATTCACATGTTGGTTGGAGGTGGGGCCTCTGGGAGGCAATTAGGGTTAGATAAGGTCCTCGAGGTGGGGCCCATGGTAGACTTGGTGGCTTTACCGGAAGAGAGAGACCTCAGCTGGCAGCTCTTGCCACCCCCCCAACCGCGACTGGGCCCCTCAACCTTGGACTTGCCAGCCTCTTCAACTGTAAGAAATACATTTATTTTCTTTGTAAATTTCCGGTGTCAGGTGTTCTGTTATAGCCACAGAAAACTGACTAAGATGAAGGGAGTGAAGTTTGTGGGGGGCCTTGTGCAGGGACAGCCCAGCATCCTCAGAGCCAACCAATCCCAGGTGGCTCAGCCCACACCAGCGGCTTGGCTTTTTGTTTGTTTTTGAGATGGAGTATCATTCTGTGGCCCAGGCTGGAGGGCAGTGGCGCAATCTCGGCTCAGGACAACCTCTGCCTCCCGGTTCAAGCGATTCTCCTGCCTCAGCCTCCCGAGTAGCTGGACTGCAGGTTTGAGCCACCACACCTGGCCGATTTTGGTATTTTTTCGAAGAGAGTGGGTCCTACCGTGTTGCCCAGGCTGGTCTCAAACTCCTGACCTCAGGTGATCCACCTGCCTTGGCCTCCCAAAGAGCTGAGATTACAGATATGAGCTGCCGTGCCTGGCCCCCAGGGGCTTTTCCTAAGAACCAGGAAGAAGCCACATGGCAGCAGAAACCACGGCCAGAGCCAGGCCCAGACCCAGAGCTCTGGCTGTCATCCCCCAAAGGGCCAAGCCTGGGCCTGGGCCTCCAGGCCGGGCAACACCAGCTCCCAGGGCCATTCCCGCCCACGGCGCCTGCCCCCCAGCCTCAGAGGCCTGAACCAGCCTATGGCTTGAGGCCTGGTTCACCGCCCTGGAGGGCAGGTCACTCAGTGAGATGAAGGGGCTCCCCTGAGGTGGGCACCAGAAATGGGAGTGGCCTGGGGCCGTGGGAGCTCAAAGAGGGAGTGGCTGTGGGTATAGTCACCACGGTGAGGGAGCAGCAGCTGCCCAGGATGCAGCGGAAGGCTGAAACATTGTCTCCACCTCTGTGTGCACAGCAGCCTGCTGTGGGAGCACACGTGCCATGCAGACACACACACACACACACACAGACATGCACTCACAGAGGCACACACGTGCACACAGGCTACCCATGCACATACACAGGCACACGTGTCTGCACACACACGCTCATGCACACACAGGCACGGGCACACACACAGGCTCACACATGCACACGGACACACACAAGGGCACACGCACAGGCACGTATGCACAGGCATACTCACATGCACGCATACACACATGAACACGGGCACATTTGTGCTCACAGGCACACGTGGGCACATACAGAGGCACACGTGTGCACATGCACAGGCACTCACAGGCACACGTGTGCACACAGGCACTCACACATGACACACGTGCGCACACGGGGCCTTTGCTGCGTGATGCCCTGTCTCTCTTGTTTCTCCTGAAGCATCTCCCGAGGGGTGTGGGTGTGTGGCCTGTTGGGCAGGAATGCTGGTGGAAAGCTATTTTGTTTTGCAGGAAATTGTCTTACTTCTTAGGTTTGTGTGGATTAACTGGGAGGCGGGTTTTTTCCACCCGGCCCAACCGTGCACTTCAGTGCTGATCAGAGCCAGCCCCTGACTCTGTCCTCCAGGGGACTCTGCCCTGGGAGGGGTTCAGGATCCTCGGGACCCTCAGGCCGGACCCGTGTTGGCTGAGAGGATGCTGAGGAGCTCCATTCGACTCGGGGCGCAGCGCCTGTGAGTGCTCAGGCAGATGCGGCGTGAGGACGGCCCCGCCTGGCAGACAGATGTCAGACAGAGGAAGAGGAGGCAGTCCCCATGCCAGCGGGCCCTGAGCCAGCGCAGAGCACACTTCCTGCGGCGTCTGAGTCTCTGTGGGACCAGACAATCCCACGATGGATGGTGAAGCTGGGTGGGCCCTTCCAAACCAAAGGCAAGCCGCACAGACCACAGTCCCCTCTCAGTCGTGAGGCCCCAGGCCTGCCCTGGAGGCCTCCCTGACCTCCAGAACTGGGAAAGGCCGTGAGCCCAGGAGATGGGGCCGGCGGGGGACAGGGAGGAGGAAGGGGGTGGGCTCTAAGGCGGGGCTGAGGATTTGGGGCTGGGGTCTGGGGGTTGCTGTTCCAGAGCCAGCGGAAGGCCCTGGATGAGGGGAGAGCTGACTCCACCGCTGGGGCTGCAGGGCAGGGGTCAGCATGCAGGCTTGGGGGACCTGGGCAGAGGCTGGGAGTTGGGGGAGATGGCCCAGCCCTCCCACCTCAAACCCACACTCTCCTGTGACCCACCCAGGGGGGGACCACCCCAGGCCTGGCAGGGGAGAGGGGCACTGTGCCCACCCTGGCCCCAGAGGTGGTTCTGGGCTTTAGGGTAGTTTCTCTTCTGCCCTCCGCTTCCTCAGGCTGGAGGGCATCTGGGTGCAGCCTCCTGTGACTGTGGGCATCCCGGACAGGAGCTCGCTTGCAACTGGCCCTGCAGACCCAGCGCTGAGCTCAGACAGGCAGGGGTCTGTGCATGCATCAAGCACCCCAGCGTCCAGCACCGGCCTGACCGCCTGGCGTCAAAGCCGCCTGTCCTCCCCAGCCCCCGAACTGCCTGCTGAGAGCCCCCCTCCCCCACACTGCCCACCGCTCCTGGCTTGGCAGAGGAAGGGGACTCTCGGGCCACACCCAGGGAGGGACCCGATCTGGCTTCACGTGGAACCCAGGTTGTAGCTGCCTGTTTTGCGTGGTCCTGCAGCTGAGTCTGCATAGAGAGTACAGCATCAGGGACACGCCTCCCGGGAAGCCGTCCTGGGGAGGGGTGGGCCCACACCTGGGGCTGGCAGGCTCCATGCCTGGATGTTTGCAAGAAGCAGAAAGAAGCCTCCGCATAGTCTCAGCCACAGGCACGCTGGGTCCTCTGTTGCCTGGCCGCAAGCTCAGGGGTTTCAGTGAGACCCTCCTGCTCCCACAGTCTCGAGTGGACCCTGGTGGGGCTCCCTGGCGCTCTCGATGCCCCCTGGGTGGCCACAGGAGAAAGTCCTACCTGGAAAGGATGGAAAACAGTCTGTCAGTGTTTTAGCTACACTGTCATAGGACCTGGCCATTGCCTTCCTGGGTATTTGCCCAAAAGAGAAAAAGCCCATGCCCATGCACGACGCGTGTGCCCACAGCAGCTTTGTCTGTGATGGCCCCAAACTGGAAACACCCCCACGTCCACCCACAGGGGAAGGGGAGCAGATCGTGATGTGTCTGCACAGCGCAACGCTGCCCAGCAGTGAAAGAAGGAACTACCGGGTGCTCCTGGCAACCTGCCCACGTCCCAGAATAACCGCGCGGGGCGAAGCCGTCAGGCGGCGAGAACGGTGGACGCTGGCTGGTTCCACGCACTCGAAGCCCTAGAAACCAAACTCCTCTCCAGTGACAGAAAGCACAGCAGTGGTCTGGGGGCGGGGGAGGAAAGAGGAGGGAGGGAGGGACTCCAGAGGGGCTCAGGGAATCTTTCGGGAGACAGACAGAGTCGTCCCCTGACATAGCGATGGTTTTGTGGGTATCTGCCTCAGAACTCACTGCAGAGAGGGCACGTGCCAGAAGGCCCCGGAAGCCGATGGAAAAGCTGCCAGGAGCAGAGGCCGGCCTGATGTGAGCCACAGAACAGGACGTGACATCAGGATGTGAGGCAAAGTGTAACAAACACCTGAGGTCCACACGGATGTCCTCGAAGGACCGTGCCCACCCATGGAGCGCAGAGACGGATCTCGGTGCAGCAATGTCAAAAATGTGTGTGGATCCCCCCGGGAGGTGGGGGCCGCACAGGGGGACTTCATCCCCCCGGGAGGTGGGGGCTGCACAGGGGGACTTCCTCCAGAGAGGCCAGGTCTAGAAGACGGAGAGGCACAGGGTTGGGGTGGAGGAACCTCAGCCTGGTGACCAAGGTCAGCATCGGCAGTGAAGGTCGTGCTGGTGGTGTCCCCATGTAGGGGGTGGGAGGAAGCCCCATCCCCATTCTCTTCCGACTGTTACTGGGTTCAGCGTGAGAAACACAGCAGACAGAGCCCAATTGAGGGACGACATAAACACCACAGCAGCGTCCCTCAAGGCCACAGGGTTCCCCAAAGACCAGGAAGGCTGAGGAACGTCACTTAGGGAGAGCCCACTGGTGAGAGACACAATGTCCCGTGGTGGCCTGGAGAGAAAGGGACCCTAGGTAACTAAGGGAATCCGGGAAAGGCGGGTGTCAGCGGACTCCATGCCCCGACACTGGCTCGCTGATTTCTACAAAGGGACCTGAGGAATGAAGACCCCACTGAGCTGGGAAGTGGGGGCCGGGGGACGGAACCTCCCTGCTCTGTCTTCACATTTTTTCCTGTAAATACAAAACCATTCTAAAAGTTTATCTTTTTTCTTTTTATTTATTTATTTATTACTATTATTTTTTGAGGCGGAGTTTTGCTCTTGTGGCCTGTTGGGGGAAAACCCTGCAGGAGCTGAGGCCTCAGCATGTTTTCATATAAACATAAAACTAGAGATACAGTCACGGAGTTATTCCTATATATAATCACAAAATAATCACATAGCTATTCATGTGTAATCAGAAATGTATACATATATATTCACATGATCTTTAATCTACTAATAAGCCTCAAGTCAAGAAGCATGGGACTGAGGTGGCATCGGAAAAGAGGTGACCCTGAGGCGAGATGCTCTAAGCCCTCTGTCCCGCCGCGTAAGGGCTGCTGGAGGACGCCTCGGCTGTGTGACAGTGTCAGCGCTGGGAAAGCGCCCGCTGTTTAGCCAGCTAGGGAAGGAGACGTCCAAGATGGCGAGACATCTCCGTCCTCGGGGGAGTGAGGAGAAAGCTCCGCTCTTAGAAGCTCTTGTGGCAGGCCCGGCGGCCGTCAGGGAGGCCCACAGACATCCAGGGACCTGTCTCTGTGTGACGCTGTGCTTCGGCGGCCACGCTCCACGGCTACTTTCAAGTTCTGCTTCTGCACCTGGTTCCTCTTTTCCTTAGAAGATGAGAATTAGTAACAGTGACACAGACCTTAGTGACCTTGCTATTTCTTGACAAGTATGAAGAAAGTGCTGACGCCTCAGGTTTTCTCCTCGCCTCGGCTTCTTCACAGTCTTGGCCCGCCCCCCCACCCTCCGTCTCCAGGACACGTGACTCACCTGACCCTGTCACTGACCACCGTTACCTCACCCCACCTGCCCCGCCCCCTGCTTTGTGCTCAGTAAAAGTCAGAGCGTTGGCCGGGCACGGTGCCTCACGCCTGTAATCCCAGCACTTTGGGAGGCCGAGGCGGGTGGATCACGAGGTCAAGAGATCGAGACCATCCTGATCAACATGGTGAAACCCGGTCTCTACTAAAAATACAAAAAATTAGCTGGGCGTGGTGGCGTGTGCCTGTAATCCCAGCTACTCAGGAGGCTGAGGCAGGAGAATTGCCTGAACCCAGGAGGCGGAGGTTGCGGTGAGCCAAGATCGCGCCATTGCAATCCAGCCTGGGTAACAAGAGCGAAACTCCGTCTCAAAAAAAAAAAAAAAAAAAGTCAGAGCGTCCAGGCACTCAGGGCCACTGCTGGTCTCCGTGCTTTGGGTAGCAGTAGACCCCTGGTCCCAAACTGTCTTTTCTTTATCTCTGTGTCTTGTGTCTTTATTTCTAATTTCTCCTCTGCACACCAGCAGGGAGTGTCTCACGGGACCCTGTAGGACTGGACCCTACAGTTGCCCAGGCTGGAGTGCAATGGCACAATCTTGGCTCCACCTTCTGGATTCAAGTGATTCTCCTGCCTCAGCCTCCTGAGTAGCTGGGATTACAGGCACCCACCACCACAACCGGCTAATTTTTGTACTTTTAGTAGAGACAGGGTTTCGCCATGTTGGCTAGGCTGGTCTCGAACTCCTGACCTCAGGTGATCCGCCTGTCTCAGCCTCCCAAGACGTTAGGATACAGGTTTAGACTATATTCGTTTTTTTCCAAGAGTCAGCTTTTGTTTGGACGTTCCTATTCCATCTTTGTTTTTATTTGTTTAATTCCTGGTCTGGTGAGGGTTGGCCCCACCACCATTCGGTGCTGGCAGGTTCCCTTCTAGGCTTGCCCCTCCCCAGCCCACGCCCTGGCAACCCCCACCCCAGTGTGGCTCGGTGTGTGGGGGAGGGGTTCCGTACTGGGAGGGAGGGACTCCTGGGCCCCCTGCACACCAGCCAGGCCCATCTGTGCCCTCTTTGCCTTGGCTCAAATACTATGCGCTTGCTCAGAGGGCACAAGGTGGGGGGCCTTGGGAGCCTATGCAAAGTGTCAGTCACATGGAAGGGGCCCGAGGGAGGTGGGCGACGAGGAGACAGTAGGAGAAGGTGAGCCCCCCTGGCACATCACCCATCACCTGCCAGCCACCAGGTCCCTGCCTGGGACCAAGCTGAGCCCTGGTGACCCTCTGTGAAGAGGCCCAGGCTCTCCAGCAGCCTGGCTGCAGCTCCCAACACAGGCTGGGCTGCCCTCAGCCCAGGGCCCTCCAGAGATAACCCAAGTCCCCTGTGAGCAGTCCTCGGGCTGGTGGGTAGCTGAGGACAGGGCACCTGGGGGTGTGGCAGAGACCAAGGACCCACAAGATGCTCCCCAACCTAGGCTGAGCTCCAGGAGCTGCTCAGACCCTGGAAGAGGACAGTGACCCCTCCAAGGCCTTAGGGAAACCAGGAGACTGCTGGGCCCAGAGGGAGGCGTCTGGACCCTCCAGCCTGTGTCCACGCCGCTGGCCCACCTGCCCATCACACCTCTGCCAATGGGGCCCTGAGGTGCCGCTGAGCACTATGGGAAGGAGCCGTGGGGATGGGGGTGCACCCCCAGCCCAGCATCTGGGTCACCAAGCCCTGAACTCAGAAATGCATACAGGACCCCTGAGAACTGGGCTGTGGCCAGGCCAAGACCAAGATCCTCTGGGGAAGCCCCAGCCTGGGTCAGCAGCAGCCTCCCAGGGTGGGCCATCCCAGGGGCCTCATTACAGGACCGGAGTGCTGAGAAGCCCCTCGGCTGCCCCACCCAGCAGCTGGCGAGGGAGGCAGGTGGACTAGGGGGCCTGGGGGAGTGGGCCCAAGACCTGCTGTGCCCGGAGAGAGGGGGCTTGGAGGAAGGGGCGGGGCTGCATCCGGGAGGTCCTGGCCCAGACTACACCTGTGGGTAGAGCAGGGGGTTCCGGCAGTCCAGCCCGCCCACCTCCAGCGCCCCCTCCACAGCCTGCCCCGGGCCAGGGAACAGCTCGGCCTCATCCTGCTGAAGCCTCAGGGCAGTGCGGGCTCCAGGCAGCCACCCGTGCAGGGCACACAGTCACACCCAGATCCAGGGCTGGCTGGCAGCCTTTGGGGTGGCCGCTCTGAGGATGGAGGTAAGAGCACCAGGACAGAGACCCCAGCTTGGGAGTCGGAGGTGAGGTCTGGGGCCTCCCTGAGAGCTGGCGGTCTCTGTGGGTGCCCAACCCCCACCCTACATTTCCTCCCCCATTCCCCCACCGAGGCTGAGAAGGGGAACAGTGGACGCCAGTGGAAGACACACTCCCCGGTCTTTGCTGGGCCCCCGAGGCCCCCTGTCTCCCCAGCCCAGCCTCCCTCTGCCCTGCCTCTCCCTTTGTCCCCCTGCTGAGGAGGAACAGGGGTGAAATCTCCCCCTTCCTGCACTTGGAGAGAAAGGGGTTGCTTGCGGTGGGGTGGGGGACCGCAGGGAACCTTGTTACTAGGGGGTCCCAGCCCAGACCTCACCCATCCCCTTCCCTACCCCCTGCCAGGCTGGCTGCTGCCCAGGAGTCCCACCCCCTGTACCCCGTCATGGAGCCCTGGGGCCCCTGTGGGTGGGCCTCACCCTGCTGGGGACGCTTCAGCCACAGCACCCGGGCCCCTCGAGGCTCGGGGGGGGTCAGAGGGGCCCAAACCTGCCTTTCCATAAGATCTGTTTCCAGCTGGGCCTCAGGAAGAAGCGGGTGAGTGGGCCCTGAGAGGGAAAGGAGGAAGGAGAAGGAAGGAGGGAGGGGCACGGAGGGAGGGGAAGAAGGGAGAGGAAGGAGGGAGAGGGGAGTAGGGAGGGGAAGAAGGGAGGGGGGGGAAGAGGAGGAGAGGAGGGAGGGGGAGGAGGGGGGAGGAGGGAGGGGAAGGAGGGGGGAGGAGGGAGGGGAAGGAGGGGGGAGGAGGGAGGGGAAGGAGGGGGGAGGAGGGAGGGGAAGGAGGGGGGAGGAGGGGGGAGGGGAGGGGAGGGGGAGGGGAGGGGGGAGAATGCAGCTGGCCGCCAGGCGTGACTGGTCCTTGCATGAGGCTACAGTGAGCGTGGCCCCCACGGCCCTGGAGAACCTTGGTGCAGGTGGAGGAAGTGAGGTTCGGGAAGGCTGCCTACCACTGGCCAGGGCCACCTGTCCCCATCAGTCCAGAGCAGGCTCCTCCAGAGTCACCGGGGCCAGCCCAGCCTGGGGGCCCTGCCCACTCCCAGCCCTGCAGTTCTGGGGGAGCGGCAGTCCTGGCCTGGCGGTTAACACCTTCTGGCCAGAACGCAGGTCTCAATTCAGGATGTTGGTGGCAGCCGTGGTCACATCCAGCCCGCTCAGCTGAAGCCGGGCACCCAGAGCCCCTGTCAGGTGATGGGGCTGCCCGGGAGGGGAGATGGAAGGGCCTCTGGGTAGAGACCCCTCACACAGACAGGCCAGTGGGTGGACCCCGTGGGCAGAACAAGGCAGCACCTGCCGTGAGGGAGCTCACCCCACCCTCAACATAGCATGGGGCCCCTGCTCCCCTCCTGCGGCCTGCAGTTTGGAGGAGGGGCCTGTCCTGAGACCCAGAGTCACGGGGAAATCAGGGGAGGGTGCGGAGACAGGGGACACGGTGACTGTAGGTGGACACTCCAATTCCATGCATCCAGTGAGAACTTCCATGGGCAGAGGACACCGTCAGAAGCGGGGACAGGCAGGAAGAGCGGCTTCAGGAGCAGTGAAGATCAGAACCCTTCCTGGAGGCCCCGAAGCCTTCCCCCAGCCCCTCCTGCCCACAACCTCCTCCCACAGGGACCCACCCTGCAAACGCTGGCCCAGTACCCCTGTCCCTGAGAGGCAGCCAGATCAGAACCTCCTTGGAGGCAGGGAGGGTGTCTTCCCTGCCTGACACCCTGAGAAAGGCCCAGAGCAGCCCCAGGTTAAGGACACTCCACATGTGTAATCCCAGCACTTTCAGAGGCTGAGGGAAGAGGATCAGCTGTGGCCAGGAGTTCGAGACCAGCCTGGACAACATAGTGAGACCCCCGTCTCTACAAAAATAAAATTTAAAAATTAGTGGGGTGTGGCGGTACATGCCTGTAGTCCTGGCTACTTGGGAGGCTGAGGAGGGAGGATTGCTTGGGCCCAGGAGTCTGCACTGAGCTGTGATTGCACCACTGCACTCCAGCCTGGGTGACAGAGCGAGACTCTGTCTCTAAAACCATAAATACATTAAAAAGGACACTCCAGGGAAGGTCTTGGTGTGGCCCCAGAGGGGGCATGATCAGCAGCCTGTCCCCAGCAGTAGAGGCCTGACGCCTGCCTGCTCCCCGAAGAGCTGGGATAGGAAAATGGCGGGATGGATGCTACGCTGAGACCAAGCCCCAGGAGAGGGGACCCAGGCCAAACTGCTCGGTGACGCCGAGGATGGCGGGAAGGGGCCTCCCAGGACACCTTGGGGGCTGGGCCAGGGAGGGAGGCGTCTTCCCAGGGCTCACAGGGTAGGGAAGGAGGTGGATTTTGACCTGAGGGAGAAATTGATCAGATCTGACCAGATTCTGGGCACCAGCCTCGACCACATTCCCTTCCTGCCCCAAACTGGCACTGGGAGGCCTAGGGGGCATGGGGTAGGCAGCAGGGACCACCCTGATGGGGGAGGCTGGCCTGGATCCCTGCAGGCCGAGGCCTGGGGCCAGGCAGGAGTGCTCACCAAGGAGAGGGTGCCTGGTGCCCAAACGACACAACCTGAGGTGCCCCAGCCCCACCCCTGTCCGTGCAGCCTGGGGAAGGACCGCCCAGGAGATCATCAGGGTCCGGGGACCAAGCCCAGGTGCCAGAGGGTCCCGACAGGATCCGGGTCACTGGAGGCGCCCACGTGCACAGCAGGCAAAGCGGATGGCAGGTGGAGGGACAGGAGTCCCGGCGAGGGGCTGCAGGGAAGCCCTCAGCAGCCTCATTTCTGACCCAAGGGACCACGGCAGGGAGGGTTGACCTTGAGGCAAGAGGGCTCCGGGCTGCAAGGTGCCAGGCCCCCCGAGACCCCAGACCCGAGGCAGGGGCCCCTTGGGAAGACGGAGGCCATGAGCCGAGGCCACAGCAGCTGGGGCTCTGAGAGTAGAGTGAGCTGGGGCTCCAGATGGAGGGGTGCCTCGGGGCGCAGACTTTGACGCAGCTGTGGCCTGGAGCATCCCCTCCTGCCCAATCCAGGCCCTCTGAGGGTCTCTGCCCAAGCCCCTGGGTCCCCTGTACTGGGCCATCTGCAGCTACCAAAGCAGCCCTGGAGCAGGCGGGAGCCCCAGGGTTAGAGGTCGTGCCCAGGGTCAGTGGTCGTTCGAACATGGCCTTGGACCCCTGGGCCTCTGACCAGTGCTCCTTCCTCACAGGAGAGCCCGTGGTGAGCCAAATGTGTAACTGCTGGGGGTCCCGGGGGTCCCGGGCCATGATGGCATCAGTGAAGCCAGGAGGCGTCAGCCAGGCCTGCCCTGAGCCCTCCCCTCTCCTGACCCAGGCACCCTCCCGCAAAGGTCTCCCTCCTCTCACTCCGGCCCCTCCAAGATTCTCTGCCTGGGCCTTCCACCCTCTGTCCTGAGGGCAGTGGACCCTGGCCTGGCCCTTGGTGGCCCCACCCTCACCACCTGCCCCAGCCTGGTTTGTGCCCCCACCCCGAGGAGCCGCAGCCACAACCTGTCCCCGCGACCCCACCAGAAAGAAACAGTCTGTGCCAGGGGGAGCCAGGTCTGCCTGTCTGTGACCACAGCGTGATCGTGAGTGGGCAGGGCCACTGGGATCAGCCTGGGCTCCAGGCCCAGGGAGGAGCTGAGCGCCGACACTCCCCTCATCTAACCCCGGGGGCTGCCTCCCTCCCAGCTGGCTGCTCGCCTGGCCCCTGTGCTCTCAGGTGGACAGAGCCAGACCCATCCTCACACACAGGCCGCCCTCCATGGCACCCGGCAGAAACTGCCCAGGCTGGGGAGCAGGGACCATGGGGTGAAGGGAGGCCTCGGAGGCCTGTGACCGAGGGGCCTGCCCAGCTCCACAGCGCCTGGCACCCCCTGCCCCTGCTAGGAACGCCCTTCCCTCACCACTGGCTCTTCTCAGAGCCGGGGCCCTGCCTCCCTGGTTCACCTTGAGCCCCCCCGGGAACCCCCATCTCAGGGGCGTGGGCCTAGGCTCCATGTGGCCGACCCACGTCCCACAGTCGGGAACCCTGACTGGGGGTGGGCACAGAGCTGGGGAGCGGCCTCCAGAATCAGGTCTCCACTGGTGCCCTGCAGGGGCCAGCCCCTGGTGCTGAAGGGGCCTTCCGGCTTCTGGTCTCTGTGGGGAGTGGTGGTCAGCCTGGTGCTGCCCCGACCCGGGGTCCTCCCAGGCTCGGCCCCTACCCAGACCTCACCGGCCTGAGGAGCTTCCGCCCAGCCCCAAAATGGGCAGGTGGGGGCACTAGCCTTGACCTTCCATGGCTGAGCTGGGCGCTTTGTGAAGCCAGGTTGAGCCTCAGAGGTGGTCCACAGTGCTGGCATCCTGGAGCTGAGCATACCTAGGCTGTGGGGGTGGGGGTGGGGTGGTTGTGGGAGTAGGTATAGGGGTAGGGGTGTGGGGGGATCCCCACAAGAGCCAAGGCAAGGGTCTGAGGACTCCGTCTGTTCTCATATGAATATAGAATTAGAAAAGATTGGAGATCCAGTTAGAGTTATTCCTAAATATAACCATAATCACACAGCTATTCACATGTAATCATTAATGTATACATACAATCATATGACCTTTAATTTTACCAATAAGCCTCAGGTCAAGCAGCACGGGACTGAGGTGACATCAGGAAAAGGGGTGACCCTAAGGCAAGATGCTCTAAGCCCTCCGTCCCGCCCACGTAAGGGCTGCTGGAGGGCGCCTCGGCTGTGCCAGTCAGTGCCGGGAAAGCGCCCGCTGTTAGCCAGCTAGGGAAGGAGATGTCCAAGATGGCCAAGATGTCTCTGTCCTCGGGGGCTCAGGAGGAACGCTGCTCCTCCAGGCCCTGGCGGCTGTCGGGGGCCCGCAGACAGCGGGGCTGGTCTCCGCCTGCGCCTCAGAGCCACGTTCCTTGTCTACTTTCAAGTTCCGCTTCTGCACCTGCTTCCTCTCTTCCTTCTAAGATAAGAATTAGTGACGGTGACACAAATTTTAACATCCTTTACATCCTTGACAGATCTGAGAAAAGTGCTGACCCACGAGGTTTCCTCGCCTCCCCTGCTGGGAAGGCCTGGGCCCTGTCACTGCCCTCCGTTCCTCACCTACCCACCCTGTCCCCTGCTCTGTACTCAGTAAAAGTCAGAGCGCCTGGGCCCTCGGGGCACTGCCGGACTCCGAGCCTCGGCAGCAGAGGACCCCCAGGCCCAGACTCTCTTTTCTCTCACTGTTTCTCGTCTCCACACCTGTAAAGGGGGACTCACGGGGCCCTGTAGGGCTGGACCCGATAGGGGTGGGTATGGCCATGGGGGGAGAATTTCTGGCCCCTAGGGGAGCGCTGTGCTGGGCTGCCCCCACCGCACCCTGCCCTGGATCCCCTGTGGCAGTCTCAGGGTGCTCCTGCTCTGACCCTGACTTGTCCAGAACACTCCACGCAGGGTCTCAGTGACCCCGGGTACTGCCCTCCCCTACTGAGGATCCCTATCGGGGCAGCTCTGACAGGAGTGAGCCTCTGGAGCCTCGAGACCTGGGCACCTCTGGAGGGCAGGCAAGGCAGGGCCTGAGAGGGTGGGGCATAGAGGCTGCTCCTCCCCAATCCCAGGCTGGGGGAGCTGATCCCAGGCCGCAGGTGTGTGGGGTTAACAAGGTCCCCATGAGTCTATTCAAGGCTGGAGGACATTCAGTCAAGCTCAGGTCCCACCAGTCACTGGGACAGCCTCAGTCCTTGAGGGCAAAGCATCGGTGGGGACACTGGACAGGGGCACCAGCGCCCCCAGAGGATGCTGGCCAGGGCCCCAGGGTGGAGACGGCTTCCCTCCAGGAAAAGGTTGGGGTCAGTTCTGGGAGCCCAGGCTCAGGCCACCAGGCTTGTCTCTGACCTGCCTGTACCACAGGCAGGGGGATGGCCTTGATGACTTCTTAAGGTAGAGGCCAAGTCCTTGCATTCTGTGACTCAGGACAACTTGTTCCCAGATCAGCGGGGTGGGGTGGCCAGCTCCTTCCTGCCCAGCCCTCCCCCAGGCTCCACTGAGGTCCTGCATGGCAGCAGAGCTCAGAGCAAAGGCAAGGACGAGGAGCATTCGCAGGGGGGTCCTTGTCCCTGCCTGAGCTGCAAGAGGTCCCTCGAAGGCTCGCCTGCCCCTGTTCACCTCGTACAAGCACAATCCTGGCTGGGGGAGGAGGGGAGAATTCTGGCGTGAGTTCACCAGGACTGGCAAGTGCCCAGCCCTTCCTGGATTTGGTGGGAGATGAATCTCCAGCCCTCGCCGGGCCCAGGTGCCCCCAGGAATCAGGGTTTGAGGGCGGCTCCGCATTCAGTCAGCCGTGCCTGGGGAGTGTCCCTGGCCGCCCGCTGGCCATCTTGACCACGGAGACTAAGCATTTGGTTCCCGAACTGAGCATGAGCTCACCGTTTCTTCCAGCTCTCCGGGCGCCACCAGTGACCACTTGGTCTCAGTAACGACTGATCATGGAGGAGAAAGGGACATGGGGCCTGCCGGGCCTTCTGCTGCCCACCAGAAAGTGGGGAAGGGGAGGGGCTTGGTCCTTGCTCCGTGCACTGGGTTTGAGGGCTGGACACCCGAGACCCCCTGGGAAGCCCTCTGGCGATGGGAGGACCTTGCCCATCAGGCTCCCCAGTCCCTCCCAGGCCTGCCCAGACTGGAGCCACGTCTCCCGGGTCTCCCTGCCCTGTGCCACCTGCCACCATGCCCTGGGGCTTGCTCACCACCGGGAGGCCCCTTGTCCTGGACCTACCTGGCCTGGGTAGGGACCTCCAGCCAGGCCACTCAGTGAGCCGCCAGTCCCACCAGGGCCGAATGGCAGCCGGGACTCAGCCAGGACTCACCCGGCAGAGGGCAGGAGGCCAGGCCTGCAGTGATGCCCCAGCCACAACTGTCTTCCTGCCCATCTCTGTCCTGGTGGGAGCCCCCAGCTCTGCAGCTGAGCCAGGCACAGGGGCCATGTCGGGTCCTGGGGTTAGACATCCCCCAAATGTTCCAACAGACCTCCCTCTAAGCCTAGGGCACAGATGGCATCTGAGCTAGCAGGGCACTGCCGCTCTGGGCAGGGGCTGATGGGAGGCCCAGGGGGAGGAGGGTTCTGAGGCCTGCCCCGGCCCCTTGCTCTGCTTACCCTCCTTCTCCCTGACTCTCAGGGACCTCCCCACTCCCCAGGACTCACTCCCTCACCTTGGCCTCTGCCTGGGATGCTACCCAGCCGCCCTGACACCAGTGCTGCCCACCAGCTGCTGCTGCTACATTAGCATCTGCCCCAGGCCACCAGGCCCCCAAGTCTGGGCTCCTTGACCCCTGGGCCACTGGGGAGGAGAAGCAGTGCGAGCTCACTCCTAGGGCCCGTGTGCCCCAGCAAGGGGTGGGTCACAGACCTAGGAAGAGGACGGGCTTCAGCCCCCAGTGGTTGGCAGTGGCCCCCCAGACGCCTGCCACCCCACCCTGTCCCAGTCACTCCTGCTCTCACGTATATTTCCCAGCTCCCCACATGGGCCCACCTGCCTACCACGCCTGCTGGGACAGCTCGGTCCACCAGGAGCCTGCCTGCGATGGCCCACGGCAGGGCCCAGCCACGGCCGACAAGCTGGAGGGGCCCAAGGGGCTGGGTGCAGCGCTGGGGTAACGCGACAGGACCAGACTCGGGGTGGGGAGGCCCAGACTTGCGGCGGAGGGGCAGAGTCAGGGTCGGGAGGTTGCTGGGAGAGGGCAGGGCCTCTGGCAAGGGATAGGGCCTGTGCCCAAGCCCAGAGTGCCCAAGCTGCAATGGGTGCCCAGGGGCCACTCTCAGAGCCCCAACAACTGGCCACGGGGAAGCCATGCCCAGCACACCTGGCCCTCAAGCCCCTGTGGGGCAGACCCAGTTTCTCTACCTCGGCCAGAGCTTCTCACCACTTCACTTGCTGGGCGTTTCAGGACCAAACTCTCAGGGTGGAAGCGAGGCTTTGTGTCCCGCTCTGGGGTCGCAGGCCTCGAAAGGTGTCGATGGTAGGGCCTGCAGAATGTGGGTCCTGCCCCACCGTGGGAAGTGGCCAGAGGCCTTGGAGGCAGGCATGGCTGAGGGACACAGCCCCATCCCTATCAGGGCTTCGGGCAGGTGGGTCCTGCGGGCAGGAGGACGTTGCCAGCTCTGTCTCTGGGACAAGTGGGCAGGGGCCTCTGCCTCACCCCCACACCGCCTCAGCTTGAGCCAGGGCACCAGGCCCAGCCTCTTGCATAAGTCCCCTGTGGGGGACCAGGCTGCAGCAGCGCCCAGCCACCCCACCCCACCCCTGCATCACGAGTCTTCAGTGGGCTGTCCTGGGGCCCTGGGTGAGGCCAGGCCTGGCCCATAAATAGGGGTCTCCTCGGTGCTCTCCACTCCTGCTGCACACCTCCCTTGCTCGCCCACACCGCTGGCACCGGGCCTCAGACATCTGCTCTGCTTCCAGAGAATGGCTGCTCAGCACACTCTGTGGATGGGGCTGGTCCTGCTGGGGCTGCTGGGCGGCCTGCAGGCAGCAGCCGAGGCTCAGGTCTCCGTGCAGCCCGACTTCCAGCAGGAAAAGGTGAGGGGCTTCCCTGCGCCATCCCCAAGAGCTACAGGGCCCGGTCGGGGAAGGGCACTTTCCAGCTGGGTCTTCTCCCCGGGGGAGGGAGCGAAGTTCCGCAGTGCCCGGCAGTGCCGGCCAGGGACGGATCCCGGCGCTCAGGAAGGAGGCTGGGCGGCTGCCCGAGGAGGCTGACCACGAGGGGCCCTCCCTGGGCACCGCGTCCCGTCTCCCCGATGGACCAAGCGGACACCGGCCCACACACGCGCCCACGCCATCCAAACACGGCCATCGCCACGGGCACGCGACCCCCAGAGGACACACGAGCGCACGTTCCACACCTGGGCGCCAGGACACGGGTGGGGGGCGGTGGCGCCCGGGGATGGCGCCAAACACGCCGCGCGCGCGGGGGACCCGCCCCGCACAGAAAGCCGGCGACGCGCGCTCTCGCCCGGGAGCTGCTCGGGGACGCGCCGGAGCGCGGGACCTCCGGCCGCGCGCCCCACCAGGGCCGAGGAGACCCCCCAGCGGTCCGCGAAGCGAACCGGGGACCCGCCCACCCCCTGCGGGCACGCGGCGTCCTCTGCCGCCCGCTGAAAGGGCCGGTTGCCCCGCCAGGGCACAGAGTCCGGACCGGGGGCGAAGGGGCCGGAGGTGGCTGGTGCGGGGGGCGATGGGGGGGGGGCACTGTCCTCGGAGGGGGCGTGGCCAGACGGGGAGCCGTTGTCAGGGGCGGGGCCCGCTTCCGGGGCGGGGCCGCTAGGGGCGGTCTGTTTGTGGGCAGGGCGAGGGGCGGGGCTTCTTGGGGATTGAACGTGGGGACCCCCCCGGGTGGGAGCTGGGAAGGGGAGGGCAGAGGCGCCCCCGCGGGTCGGCACCAGTGGTCCGGAGGGTCCTGGCCGACGCGGGTGGGGGCCGCTCGCCGCAGTTCCTGGGGCTCTGGTTCAGCGCGGGCCTCGCCTCCAACTCGAGCTGGCTGCGGGAGAAGAAGGCGGCGCTGTCCATGTGCAAGTCGGTGGTGGCCCCGGCCTCGGATGGCGGCCTCAACCTGACCTCCACCTTCCTCAGGTGTGACAGCGGGCAGGTGGGCTTCCGGGACGCAGAGGTCTGGGAACACCCTCGGCCTAGCCCCTGACCCTGAGGTCACCCACCTGCAGGAAAAACCAGTGTGAGACCCGGACCATGCTGCTGCAGCCCGCGGAGTCCCTTGGCTCCTACAGCTACCGGAGTCCCCGTGAGTGGGGCCTCCACCGACCCCCTGGGCCCAGCCTGGGGGTGACACTTGCCGGGCTGACTCTCGGCCAGCCCTCTGCCTCGGAGATCCATGGGGTGGGGGGTGATGGCCGCCCCACCAGGACAGAGAGGCCAAGGCCAGGCCTGGGCGTGACTGCCCATGCACCAGCGTGGGGACAGAGGGATCCTTCCTCCAGGGGGTGGGAACATCTCTGGAGCCCACTAGTGTCTTGCCAGGCCCTGCTCCTGTCCCCTGGAGTTTTCCCCACATATGCAGCCCCCAAGGCTCCTCCACACACCTCCTCCCAGTTCTCCTCCCCAGGACGCAGGGGCTTCCTCACCCCTCCTGGGGAACGGCTCCCTCCGGGAGACCTCTTCACTTCCCAATTCTGGCAGCGAGTTCTGTGGCTGCACCAAGAATCCGGTTTTCTGAGCCTGGCTCTCCCGGACGTCTGGTTTGGGGAGAGAGTTCACAGGCTGTGGAGGCAGGAGCCGGGTGTGGGCTGGAGAGCAGCGGGGTAGGGGAGCATCCCAGGCCGGCCGAGGACTGAGTGCCCACAGCCCACAGGCGCACCCCCTCCCTGAAGCAGAGCTGAGTCCCCAACAGGGCCATCTCTTGGGTTCCCAGACTGGGGCAGCACCTACTCGGTGTCCGTGGTGGAGACTGACTACGACCAGTACGCCCTTCTCTACAGCCAGGGCAGCAAGGGCCCCGGCGAGGACTTTCGCATGGCCACGCTCTACAGTACGTGCCCAGGGGGCTGCCCCGAGGCTGGGGCCAGATGCAGCCTGACCACAGGGGCTCCCCCAGGCTCAGGGAGAGCTCACACTGTCCCCTCCGCTGAGGCCAGCTGTCTCCTCCCTGTCCCAGGCCGAACCCAGACACCCAGGGCTGAGTTCAAGGAGAAATTCACCGCCTTCTGCAAGGCCCAGGACTTCACAGAGGATACCATTGTCTTCCTGCCCAAGACCGGTGAGTTCCTAATCTGATGGGGAGAGGATTAAGGTCAGATTAGAGGCAGGCACTCAGGCGGTTTCCTGACTGCAGGAGGCAGAGGGGAGGAGGCGGCCCCACCCCGCTGCCTGCTGACCTGCTGGAGGCCTGGGCCTGCAGCCCCTTCACGAGGGGCCGCCTCTGTGGGGGACGTGGAGACCAGGCACCCACTCCATACCAGGCCCCAGCAACTCCCAGGATACGGGGCTCCAGCCTGGTGGAGGGTGTAGGATGTTGTGCCCATGGGGGACACAGGTGGACAGCCTGCTCTCAGCAGAGGTGGAGAAAGGCCCTCTCTGTTTCAGGGGGCCAGAGGAGAGGTGGGAGGTGATGGGGGTCTGTGCGGTTTGGGGGTTTATTCAAGACCAGCTCTGCATTCGGCGAGGGACAGGAAGCCCCGTGGGAAAATTGGCCTAAGCCTAGGGTTCTGACGACAGCCCCCTGCTTCTTTCTTGGCAGATAAGTGCATGACGGAACAAGAATAGGTGAGCCAATTCATTCATCCACTCATTCATTCATTCAGCACACATCCAGCCCACCCCCTGTGCAATGGATTAGGGTCCCAGGACAGCCTGGTGCTACAGGACCAGGCAGGAGACACGGGGGCTGCCCACATTGATAGGTGCCCAGGTCTGAGGCTCGGAAGGAAAAGCTGTCCCAGCCACTGGAATAGGGCTGGCCCCTGAGGGCTCACATGGCGGGCTGCAGGTGCGAGACCTCAGGCAGCGAGGGGTGTCTGGCTCCTGGGGTGGAAGGGCACTAGGGTGGGTGAGATGAGATGGGAGGAGACGGGACGGAAGGGAGGGCTGAGGATGCTTCGTGGAGGCCGTGGGAGACCTCAAGGAAGCAGGCTCCACGCGGATTGACCCCCACCCCCAGGAGGGAGGCCTAGGCTGGAGCTGGAATCTGGGCCCTGGGGCTGGGAGGGGTGAAGTCTGTGGACCCTGGGGCACTGGGGATCCGAGCCCCAGGGTCTTGCTCTCTCATCGGGGCTCACGGGAGCCGGGGGCAGAGGAAAGCCCCCATACCCGCAGCTGCTCCATCCAACCGGAGTGGGGGTGGGCTGGGAAGACCGCAGCCTCCATCATGGCCTTCCGCTTGCACCCCCAGCACTCCCCAGGCCTGAAGCTGGGACCCCCGCCAGCCAGGTGACCCCCGCGCTCTGGATGTCTCCGATCTGTTCCTTCCCTGAGACCTTGCCCCGGCTCCCCACCCAAGTGCCCCCGCTCCCTTGGGCTTCATTCTGGCTCTATGCAATAAACTGTGGAAGCAAGTCAGTAGGCTCCTGGCTGTCTGTGCTGGCGTCACCGTCCTGGGCCTGGCCCCGGCCACCTCAACCTCCCGCTCTGTAAATCCCAGCCTGATGTCGACAAAAGAGCAGGCCCTCTAGTGTTTGCTCCCAGTGGGGTCCTGAGTCAGGAGAGCCAGGAGGGGTGGCCCCCACCCACTCCACACGCTCGTGTGACGCTGCCACAGACCCACGTGTCCAGCCACACCCCCTGAGCTGCCACTGCTGCCAGGCCGGTGCTGAGCTGAGGGGTCAGTGACTCATCTCATCCCCTAGGCAGGTGCCCTGCACCCCCAACCCCACCTTCGCCTCCTCAGCAGGAAAGGCCTGAGGCTTGAGGCCCCAGAGGAGCTTTGGACCTGTTGGGTGTCTCGAGGTGTGGGATTGGGCAGAGATAAGGGTTTCAGGGGACAAAAAGGAACATTTGTTTGAAAGATGCTAGAGTGTCTCCACCCCCCACTAGGACAGACTGACGGAGTGGACTGGGGACAGGCCACCCCATGTCCCTCTGGCTCTCTGAGCACGCTCTGCCCTCGGCCTCCAGACCAGAGCCCTGGCACCACTCCCATACCATGCCCGGCTAGTATCCTGCCCAACCCTGCTCTCTCCCACATTCCCACCCTCACTGTGACCTGCCCACCAGGCCCCCCACCAAGGCAGGCCCTGCAGAGGCCCCAAGCATTTGAGCCTCAGAGGTGAGGGTGAGGTTCTAGGTGGCCTTCCAGGAGAAGGGAGCTTGAGGCTGAGCTCTGGGGGATCCCGCATCCCAGGGAGTCGGCAGAAGACCAAAGAGGCAGGGGGGGTGAGCTGCAGGCCCCCACCCCGGAGGCCTGTCAGAACTGCCCTCAGCTGCCAGGCATCCGGCCCCACCCCGGAGGAAAGGCAGGGGTTGGCAGGGGGTGGCGGGGCTTGGGTGGAGGCACCTGGGCCAGAGTGCTGCAGGGTGCAACGTGATCAGAAGCCTATCACGGTGGGTGCAGTCCCAGCCCAGCCGCCCCAGGGCATCTCAGGGGCATAAAGCCTACAGAGGAGACACCCCAGCTCGGCCCTGCTCCCAAGTCCCAAGGAGACACTCAGCCACTTTGCTGCATGATGCTTCGGGCTCTGCTGATCAGCTCCCTCCCTGCCCTGCTCTGGGTGTCCCCAGGCCAGGCCCAGGTCCCCATCCAGGTCAACTTTCATGCCAGCCAGGTGCGCCCAGACCTGGGGCCACATTCTCTAAGCGCAGCACTTTGGTGCTGAACCCCAGGTCCCTGTCCACACCCTCTTTGATCCAGGCTCAGCAGGGCTGGAGGCAGGGGATCCCCCACACACCTGCTCTGTCTGTCTGGAGGGGGCGTGGCTGGAAAAGACTGCAGTCCGCCACCCCAGCTTTTCCGTTACGTGCCTCCCCCGTCATTCCCCAAGGCCAAAAACTGGGACAAGTTGTAGCTGCCTGCACCTCATGTCCCCCCGCCTGACCCCACACAGACTTGTGACCTCGCCACAGCCCCACCCATCTAGCTGTCCCCCAGGCTGCCAGCTGCAGACAGCTGGTGCTGGGCTGGTGGGGGCCATTGTTCCTCTACTGAGGCCCCCCACTCAGTTTTGCATCAGGGTGGATGTGGGCACAGCAGCCCCCGTCCTGGCCAGGAAGCAGCTGTGTCAGGATGGAACGTGGTGGGTAGGACATGGTGGGCTCAGGCCCAGGGCACGGGGCCGCCTCTCAGCCTTCCGTGTGCTCACCCTGTGGTTCCAGGGCACCTGGTACATGGTCGGGGTGGTGTCAGATCACCAGGACTTCCCGGACTCCAAGGACACTATGAAGATGCCCGTGGTCTTAGTGACCCCCTTGGTGAATGGTGACCTGGCCCTCAAGTTTGGACACCCTACGTAAGTGATCCCAGGAGCCCCACATCACACGCAGCCTCAGACAAGGGCCAGCATGAGGCAGATGAAGGTCCAGAGAGACCATGGTGTCTCCAGGACGTGGGGCTCAGACCACGGGTCCTTGAGGGCTCTTCGGGGCCAGTCCCAGACAGCAGCCCCAGGGCTCCAGAGGGATCCAGGCCCTGGAGGAAGCACTGCCTGAGGCCTGGTGTTGAGAAAAGTGTCTGCATGTCTTTGTCTCTGTGTGTACCACTGTATGTGACTGTCTCTGTGTGTGTCTGTTTCTGCATGTGTGCGTGTATATGCGTGTGTGTCTTCTGTGTATATCTGTGTCTGTGTGTCAGTGTATCTGTATCTGTGTATGTGTGCATGCATGTATATGTGTGTCTTCTGTGTATCTCTGTCTTCTGTGTGTGTGTCAGTGTGTCCGTGTATCTGTGTGTGTGTGCATGTCTGTATGTGTCTTCTGTGTATGTCAGTGTGTCTATCTGCGTGTGTATGTGCATGTGTGTATGTGTGTATTCTGTGTATATGAGTGTCTTCTGTGTCAGTGTGTCCGTGTATCTGTGTGTGTGTCAGTCCGTGTGTCTGTGTATGTGTGTCTGTGTGTGTGTGTCATCTGTGTGTATCAGTCCGTGTATCTGTGTGTGTGTGCCTGTGTGTATGTGTCCGTGTGTGCGTCTTCTGTGTGTATCAGTCCGTGTGTCTGTGTGTGTGTGTGCCTGTATGTGTGTCTTCTGTATCAGTCCGTGTATCTGTGTGTGTGTCAGTCCGTGTGTCTGTGTGTGTGCCTGTGTGTATGTGTGTCTTCTGTGTGTATCAGTCCGTGTATCTGTGTGTGTGTGCCTGTGTATGTGTCTGTGTGTGTGTCAGTCTGTGTGTCTGTGTGTGTGTGCCTGTGTATATGTGTGTGTGTGTCTTCTGTGTGTATCAGTCCGTGTGTCTGTGTGTGTGCCTGTGTGTGTGTCTTCTGTGTGTATCAGTCCGTGTATCTGTGTGTGTGTCAGTCCGTGTGTCTGTGTATGTGTGTCTGTGTGTCTTCTGTGTGTATCAGCCCGTGTATCTGTGTGTGTGTGCCTGTGTATGTGTGTCTGTGTGTGTGTCAGTCCGTGTGTCTGTGTGTGTCTGTGTGTGTGTGTCTTCCGTGTGTGTCAGTCCGTGTGTCTGTGTGTGTGTGCCTGTGTGTATATGTATCTTCTGTGTATCCGTGTCTGGAAGGGAGATCTGGATACCTCCATTGTCAACTGTGTCCTCAGCAGGTACTAGATACCAAGCCCACCCCAGCAGGAGTTTTCCACCTCTAAGGTCACTCTGAAGTCCCCATGTTCTCTAAGGATTGTGAGGGTGAATCAGGGACCCTGGGCTCAGGGACAGTGAGGTCGGCTCTGGGCCCGGGTGCTGGGCAGGAGGGGCCCAGGGAGCTGGAGGGCTGGTGCCGGAAAACAGACGTGATCTTCACCAAGGGCGCCGTGGAGGGCAGTTCAGCAGCGCAGGTGCGGTGGGCGGCGGGCAGCTCTGCGGGTGGGGCCTCGGGGCTCTGCGGGCTGCTAGAGGGCACCAGGGCAGGGCCTGGGGGGGCCGCGCTGCGGGGCAGGCGCGCTGGGCCGGGGTCGGGGGTCTCGCCCTTTCAGCCGAGGCCTGTGCGGACATGGAGGGCCTTCTCCGACCGCCGGCACCTCGCCGGGCGGGACTTGCAGACGCGGAAAGGGGCGGCCTCGGCCTGGAGCCCCCCCCAGCCCGCCCCGGCGCGGCCTCCCTCCCGGCCTCCGCCCCTTCCCTTCAGCCCGAGCTCCGGAGCTGCTTCCCGAAGGCGCCCAGAAGATGCCAGCACCCCCGCGGGGAGGGCCAGGCCCGGGGTCGCCCCACGGGCTCCCAGTCGGGGCAGAAGTGCCCGCGGCGGCCCCAGCAGGTCGGGGAGGGGTGGTGGCGGGGCGTCGCCCGGGCCGGTGCTCCGGGAGGGGTTCGCGTCGCGCGGGGCGGGGTCTCCGTCCCCGGGAACGGGGCGCGCTGTCCCGGGCTCGCAGACCACCCCAGGCGGAGCCGCGGGCACCGGCCCTCCCGGCGGGGCCTCCACTTTCGGGGAGCGCGGCTGAGGGCGGGGGGCCGGGGGGCCGCTCGTCGGAGGGGCGGAGGCAGGGGAAGCCCCAGGCGCCCCCGGGTTTGCGGGAACCGGTCCAGCTGCTCCCGGCGCCCCGCCCCTCCACACCCCGGCCCCCAGCGCAGTCAGCGCCCTGAAAACCCGCGGCGCCTTGTGCTTCCTGGGGGAAGGGAGCGGGGAGAGGGCCCAGGCCGCCCCCACTTTCCCGTCCGGGCAGGCGTTTGGCCCGGGGTTGGGGGGGGACCGAGCCTCGGCTCCGGGACTTTTCTAGCCCCCCGCGGACCCGTAACCCCAGGCTGGGGGCGCGAGGAAGGTGGGCTCGGACCTCGGGGTCCTCCCAGGCAGTGTCCGCGGCTGCCACCCCAAGGTCCCCTCTGCGCCCCACTCCGGGCTCCAGGCCCCGCCCCGCAGGCTGACCCGAGACGGACTAGTCGCCCCCAGCCCTGCCCCGGGTCCTGCCCACGGAGGGCGGACGGCAGGCTCCGGAGTCTCGGGGGGCCGTGGGCTTGTCTTTATTTCTTTGTTTCAAGACGGAGTCTCGCTCTGTCGCCGGGCTGGAGTGCAATGGCGCCGTCTCGGCTCACTGCAGCCTCCCTCCCGGGTTCAAGCGATTCTCCTGCCTCAGCCTCCTGAATAGCTGGGACTATACACAGGCGCCAACACCCCGGCTAATTTTTTGTTTGTTTGTTTGTTTGTTTGTTTTTGTATAGAGATGGGGTTTCACTATGTTGATCAGGCTGGTCTCGAACTTCTGACCCGGTGATTCGCCTGCCTCGGCCTCCCAAAGTGCTGGGATGACAGGCCTAAGCCACCACGCCTGGCCACAGACAGTGCTGTTTTTTACAGACAAATCTTGAAGAATTTGAAGGAAAATAGCCTTGCCGTAATGTTCTGAGTTAGCAAAATAATAATAATAATACTGGCTGCAAATCTCAACATTTTGATAATTGTTTCATCTGGGTGATGGGTCTAAGGGGCCCAGTATGCTATGGTTTCTGCTTCTCAGATGGCCGCAATTTTGT